ACTATCAATTTCTTTACTACTCACCAATCTTTACCAACTCGTGTCACGATTCCCTACTTTGTGTGACACATCTAACGATCGATAGTAATAGCGAAGCAACTGAACATAAATTGTTTGATTTCCTATACATGCAATTATTCAAATATTAATTAATACAAAAACTATTAAACGAATAATTATCGTCATCTCAAGTACCTTTCAGGAAATGATATCCTTTGTATTATTTGCAGAAACAAATCGCCACAAGGGAGAGACAATTGCCTTCTATCAGAGGTCCGTTTGTTCGACTTGCAACGTGGTGTTGACTACGAGCCTTCCGCAGACGACTGGCTGTTTGCCTTCGACCTGTTCAACGGACGGTGCTGGAGGAAGGCTCATGGGAAACAGGAATACGAGTAAGTGTCACAAATGCTGTTAAAGTTTCATTTCGATTAATATAAATCACAAAGCAAACCTTAATCACCTTTAGTAAGGGATAATTTATAAATAACCTGTTGTAATTTTTCTAGCATTCTAAGTTCCGAATTGCCGCACCCAATTCCTCCATCAGCATACCCACCGTCTGGTCCAACCGGTGATGATCATTCAGGACCTTCAGGTATGGATTTATTGTCATCGCAATATTAAATAGACACATTAAATTAATGTCACATATTAATTTCAGGCCCATCATATTCATCTCCTTCAGGTCCCAGCGGGCCCGATTTTAAACCCGGATATTCGTCAGGACCAGACACACCAATTAAACCTGGTTATACCGCACCTTCTGGCCCTGGACATAAGCCGAGCTCTCCAGGATATGTGCCTGATACAGCTCCTTCTGGACCAAGTGGACCCGATTATAAACCTTACATACCTTCTAGTCCCGGTTATATAGAACCTAGTGCTCCCACATTCAAACCGGGCTATCCACCTCCCTCCTTTAAACCTGTACTACCTTTACCGCCTCGCAAACCTATACCTCCGCCTAGCGGTCCTGATTATAGGCCGGGTTATCCATCCCCTAGCGGACCTGAATATAAACCCGGATATCGGCCTGTTGAACCGAGTAGACCGTACCCGCCATTACCACCTAAACCGGATTATCGACCTGGTGGCAGTAGACCGGGATACGAAGGTGACAGGGAGGAGAATGGATCACGTAAGTGGTTATTATTTCAGTATTGTAGCTTTATACAATGCTAGATATTTCTGAGAAGGCAAAACGGTTAATAAACAGATCGAACTTCTTTCATTACTTAATATAATTTTATTTGATACAACGTTCTGTTTGTTTTAGTACTTATGTCGTGGCGTCAGTACACTGTGTCAGGGTTCCCTTGTCGTAGAGGCACAAGCTGTGCACAGAACCATGTCGCTGGCCATTGGGCGTGTGAACCCGAGGGCGGGGAAATTGGTAAGAAACACAGATTTTGTTATTAAAAAAAAATGACATTGAGTGTTAATATTTTCAATCAAAGCGTAATAGGATTTCAATGAATTGTTTTTGACAGAAGTTAATTAAATTTACAGGGTCTTGGGACTACTGTTGCGCCCCGACTCACCGCTGTGGGTACAGTGAAGGATTCCAAAAGCCATGGTAAGTGTAATCCAAATGAAGACAGAGTAAGGAAAAAGGCATTAAAGGAGTTTACAAATTGTATTGTGTACATTTGCTGTTGTTGCAAGTGAAATTCTCAATAGTCTAAATCACATGGTTCACAATTATTCTATTTAGAATTGTACTTTTTTAGGTGCTACGTCGGCCCCACACACGAGCAATGGCGACCGTGTAGTGAGAAATACTATCCGTATTTCAAACATAAAGTTCCTCATCCCTCGCAAGGACAAAGAGGTGAATAATATTAATAACAACTAGTTTTTTATGTTCTTTTCATATAATTTAAATTAGGTTGTTCTCAAATAAATTACAAAATTAATTTACCCCAGAACCGAGTTCTTCACAAGTTTCGGGACAATGGCGTGATAAATCCGGCAACGTACCTCAAGGAGGAGAAAGACCCGGACCTTATCTAGCAGATACCGATAAAAATTATTGGGATGATCTGTATAAGAACGGACCAAGAGCTTATTATGATAAACATGGAAATCCATTACCAGGTACTCGTAGATATAATAATCATGCGGTTATAAACCTACTTACTTCTATCCTATCTTTCGAATTTTATTTTTACATTCATTAAAGTATAAACCCTAAGTAAAGTGTCAAGTTAAATAAGTAATTTTATTTCAGGTTACACTCGCGTGGCAACAGAAGAAAGGCCCAGAATAAGATATCATCACAACCAACCTCAACCAGGTAGTGGAACTTGGGTGCCCGTTCCAGACTTCGGTGGTTTTGACAACCGTGTAGTCCCTGAACCACTTGGAGCTCCTAGGTAAGGGTTTTCCTGTATACAATATGAAGTAGTAAATATTACATTAACATATTATCGTTACAAAGGCTTGATGAGAAATTTAATTGTTTCACGTATTTTCTATTTCAGATACTGGCCTGTAGCTTATCTTCATAAAGGACCTCCGCCTAATATGACGTATTTCAGATATAATGAAACTGATCATACTTCACATGATAGAGCTCAGTCTCGTGATATCGAAGACGGTATAGCTCTACCAACAGAGCGGTCATTAAACGAGTTCAAAAGAGTTGACGTCATCAGACCTAAAGGTACTGATATAGAAGGCAGGAAAATAAGAGATGGTCCAACAGATAATAAAACAAATCTAGACGAAGATTTCTTAAAATTAGACAATGACACTACTACAAGCACAACAACAACAACAACGACCACAACTACAACCACTACAACTCCTAAAAGTATTTCTTATAAATCAAATAATGATAGTGAGGTTATCAAAAACTTAACAAATACTAATACAACAGAGATTCAAATAAGTAAACCAAATCAGACCGTATCTACATTGGATATAAATGATGAATTTGATAAACTTAAAGGCATTGATGGCAAATTAGAGGATTTCTCCAAATCAATTGAAGTTTTTGAACTAGACGATAGAACTAAGTGTGATAAAGAAACCGATTTCAAAACTTTAGAAGCGGAAGAAAGACAGATCGAAGCGATTGGAAGACTAGTAGCATCCAGACGTGGTGGAAAGCTGATCCTTGAGAAACGATCGCAAAAAGATTTGGAAAGCAAAAATATCGCTGTAGATAAAGATTTATTGGATTTTAACTTCGGAAATAAATTTCCAACAACCGAAAGGCGCGGTATCATACAAAGAGTAAGTAAAGATGAAATAGACAAGGAAAGATTTTCTAATGACAAAAGTTTAGAAGTCAGTGAAACAACTTTTGTAAGGCCTCCTAGAATTCTTAGTACAACTGAAAACATACGAAAGGCCATTGTTAATGGAAAAGTATTTTACGACGCAACTATAAGGGAACAAAGAGATTTAGTAACTAATGTGACAAGAAAAGCTAAGAGCCTAAAATTGGATGAAGCTAGGGGTCCGTCTGTTATATCTAGTAATTTAAATACTAAAAGAAAAACTATACAACCAAGAAATGTTAATCCAATTAGAAAAGTAAGACGAGTCTTTAGAAAGAGGTATAATCCAGAAGAAGTTAGAAAACGGTTATTAGAAAGAGAAAAGAACGTAAAATCTCCAGATAATAAACCAAAAGTAGAAGAAAATATTAAAACATAAATTTACATTCTCATTTTCGATAAAGGTTACCAATTATTTAAGAATTAATCGTTTATTAAGATAAAAGTTGAATGAAATGAGTACGAATAAATTCGTTAAGTTTTATTACGTTAGATTCTCTTGTATCTTTCGGTTGACAAAATCCGGGGAATACTAGATTTTATGTGTATGGTGCTTATTAAATTGTCAGTTTGACCTCAAATGTATTACTTTTGAGTTGAACTGACGATGCTTTTATTTTTAAGGTATTCATATTAATTTAAGATTTCTTTTTTTACAACTACGATATAGACTAGACAGTAATTTATGTTGAAATTGATTTGTACTTTAACGTACTGATAACAAGCGATACAATCCTTTAAAAATGAACAAGTAGCCATTTATTTTTGTATAAATAATACAATTTTCTTAGCAATACGTGTTTTATTCAAAAACAACAAATCCTTCAATTTCACAACTACTACGTCGAATATTAATTTCCACAAGTTTTTTGTTATCTGCGACATTTCTAAATGTCTGAATTTTCGAGCATAGCAATAAGAAAGCAATTAGTGACTGGAAAGTGCTAATATATTATACGACTGTTTTATGAAAGTTTACGAAAAATTCCAACAAATGTGATAGAAGTCACACCTGTTAAAAGCAAGAACATAATATTGCTGATCTACATGTAACTTGTATTAGTCTAAGTCCGTGATTCCCAAAGTATTATTTATCTAAGACCTATTCCCAAGAAGCCCAAGCCCAAGAAGAAGACCTCTTCTAATAATTTACTCATTTCGATATACCAAAGCAAGCTTTTCTTTAACTTGTTAATCCTGATATTTAATTACCACAAGAGTACTCTTCACTCCTAACTCACCTCCTCACCACTCACTCTACGAGTCGTAAGACTCAATAAAAGTGGTGATGGTGAGTCGTAGGACTCTAAGTAATTAGACCACAGAGGTATACAACTTTGGGAATCGCTGGTAAGTTGTAAAGATCTGGTAAAACTTGTAGTACTAGATGAAAAGCGGGTTGAGTTTCCTTGTAAACAAGTTTACAATGACTGCAAACAGTCGTACATAATAATTTAAGCTCAATAGAAAGTAAACGAGGCAATGACTCAGCTGCAACTTACGTTCCGACACATATTATGTGCAGTTAACGCATTTCACTTGTGAAAGTGCATACGAGACGTGACATGCTAGGACATTTCCTTAATACTCTGGAACCCGTCTCCAATAATGTCATGTCAAGGACAATAACGTTCGTAATTGTAATAACAAATGAATAAATAAAAGTAAACAGTCTCATGTTTTTTCATAGTAAAATGGTAAACAAGCAAATGGTTGCTAAGGGCGGGCGCACACCTGTTGTGTGATTGTCGATTGTTTTGCAGCGAACTCAACTGTTTAGTTGCACAACTAAAAATCGAATATTGCGCACGTCCATATAAGCTCATAGGAATCAAAGCCAAACTAAATAGTTGTGCGATAGTTTAGTTTCAGGTGGGCGCACGCTCTTAAATTCGATAATGTAACAAAGTAATCGGTACCTATGGACATCCGGGTTTGTACCATTGCCTACCGTGGTTCGACAGATAAGGGAACGCACAGAAAGTGGATATTTCATCTTTCATGTATCCCCTCCTCTGCCAATACATTGGATTGAACTTGACATTGACTTGACATTGAAGCTAAATCAAGGATAAGGGGGAAACGATAATCAAATTTGTTCTTTCCTAAACGTTTTATTAAAATTTAGTCTTTCCGTAATATTATTAGGTTTTTAATAGAGTATATTTAGCTAGTATTTACTTTAGTGCGGATAGAAAAATAATTTCCAGTAGAAAGCGTCCATATAAATTATAAAAATTGTTCACATGAATGTTACAATAACGCTTGGTCTCTATTTAATGGCATAATTTGAGTGAAATTTCCATTAAAAAGTTATAATAATACTGTAATGTTGATTTAACTTTCCGTGCAATTTCTTGAGTTCTTAAGCTGACGTTTCCATTTTTTTTTTCATTACCTATGGAATTGTGTTCTTCTTCTTTGTCGCTTGAGTCTTTACAGACTCGTCGTGGTTATCACGTATCAGTGACCCGCTTTACAAGTCGCCGCCACTCCTCCTTGTACGCTGCTTTTTTCGCACATTGATGCAAGGGTACGTCCATAGCCGTTCTAATCTGGTCGGTCCATCTCATAGGCGATCTTCCTCTAGGTCTGGTGCCCTCCACCTTACCCTGCACTACTAAACGTTCTATGGACTCGTTATTACTACATTACATAACATAACAGGATTTGTGTTAGGTTGAACTAAATTTCTACGGAGTAAAACTCAAACTACGTAATTGGGAAATGCATTTTAAGAAGTTATCGAAACAAAAACACCAACAATTGGTTAAAATAGCTGGATGGATTTATGGACCCACTGTCAGCTAGTGTTCATATTATGCTAGTCTAGTGCACTCGCCAAGTGTAAACGAGGCATAAAGTTTTAAAACATGAGACTAACAGCTCGTAATCACCTCAGTTAAACATCTCCATAATCATAATCGTAACACTAACACATTCATCATGTGGGTCAACTGGAACAGGTTTGTTCTATGTGTCAATAGAGTAGGTTTATTAATGTTAGCTAAATTACGTTTCTCTATATCGTAAGAACTCTCTCACAACGTTATTAACGTATATTGCAGTTTACATTTGTTGATCATCGCTGTTTCCCACGGTTGTAAATTACAATCAATATTTCCTAGGTTAGTCAAGATGAACGTTGATCTTAGATTACTTTCTTGTAACATGAGTCTAAAATAATGCATTTATTGCAAGCAAAATTACCTCTTCGTTCAAAGGTGTAGGGATTTCTTACCTTGTAATGTTTTTTATTTAAGATAAATGTACCAATAGTTGATAATATAGTGCAAGAAAAGCGCAGTTACTTTTCTTCTAGTGCTTATAGATTTTTTTTATAAAAGGATGTTAATTAGTCCTTCAAGAAACTTATCTTGCACCTGTTTTTTCAATAAGTGAACAGCACAAATTAAGTTAGCAAATATATTATAAATTATCACGAAATCCAAAATTATTACTAACTGCTTCACTATCAAATACTGGTACTTCCAATTCATGTATTTTTCAAGTAATTAATTAATATTCTTAATTACTTTAGATATCAGGAATTATAGTAGTTTGTTTTGAAAAGAGGCTTATAATAAATGTAATATTTTTAAGCGGCCAGTATCAATTAAAACAAAACGTATCCTTAACAGAGGTCTTAAAATTTGGTATCAAAACTACGGTCCCCGTTGACCCTGGCGAAAGTTCGCTTTCACTCGTAATCCGTCGGGTAAAAGTGTTATTTGAACAATCTTATAGATGTTATTACAAACTTCGCGGCACTTTCTTCAGTGAGTTCAATGAACTTTGCACTTGACTTGTAATGACACAAACGCTTCGTCATAATTGGCTGGTTTTGTAAGTGTTAATTTACTATTAGAAAAGTATGCCACCTCATAAATAGGTTTGTAGAAATTTTTATTTATTTATTGTTTCTTCGGTAGTAAAAACATATTATAAATTAGTTTACTGATACACAAAGAATATTTTTATTAATATTTATTCTTCAGCATAATGCAAATCTTTTACCATTTTTTAAAATCACAAACCATCAGATTACTCATTAAATAAAGTACAGTAAAGATTTTTTTCTTCGTATTAACTCTTATTGCGCCCAATTCTCACGTTAATTTTGTCAGTTAGTGTACATGAATGACCAAAGAAGCTCACGACCTCGATACGCTAGACCAGTTCTCTGTTATGAGTCATAAACATCAAAGAAACTCTTCTTATACTTGATTAACATTTGAAAACTACAGTTATGATCTAGTCAAAATGAATTAACCTCGTAAGTCTACTATAGTCATATCTTTTAAAAAATCGACGGTTCTTACGCATATACTCGTAGTTGCAACGCAATATAAGTTACTTAGAAGTGGTCTTATATGAATGTATGATATTCAATTGAAAAATTTATAGTTTCAAATAATTAAATTCTGATTTCAATCTTTATTTAGCTCTATTAAGCAAAGTTTGAAAAGAACATAAAATATTTCTACATAAAATGTCTAGTTACGAGCTTACGCATGGTAGCTGTTGATTTATTCTTTGGTATTTCTTTTTTAAACGTATGATGAAGAAGGGATCACGGAGTTGAAGAACAATAGAGTTATCTAGGGGACGAAAACTACGTGCGCCGATCTTACCGGAGTAGGATAAGGAAGGGAAATTGGAAGATGTAAAAAAGCGCTTATGAATGTAATGTTTAAAGTGTGTTAAATTGTTTAACAATGGGTATATCGAGTCAATATCCTGTCATTGCAGACTAAATACAAGCTTCCTAACCCACAATATAGACGCAACGAGAATTTGTAATACGACACTTTGAGGTCAAACTATGCAAGCCTCTTGGCAATTTCTCTTTGCGTTTAATGCATTATTAAAACATGTGAAATCGTCTTTTTCCGCACGAAATACAAACTGGTTTTAATGATGTGAAAGAAATTATATCCTTTGCATAATATGTGAAGAGAATGTCGATATTTTTTGCATTTGTAAATTTTCTGGTTTATTTTGCTGGTAAACGATAAGAAAGTGTTGTTATTAAGTATATAAAAAGCAATATTTTAAAACACAAAAAGAAAATGTTTTATCAGGTGTTTCCTGTGAGAAACTCACAGCTATATTCTTTACTTTTTTAATCTTTTTTTTTTAATTAAATGTATTATGTAATTAAAAAAGTTTATATTATCAATCACATAAAATATTTTTATTGCCTTCACATTCTATATAAAAAAGAGTCAATGATACTGCTTCGGACGTGTTGATGTACGGTTAGCATAAACCTTATTCCACGAGTAATATAACTACAAATAGAAAATTAGGTTTTTGTTCACTATTTTTATGTTTGAAACATAATCTTACATCAAATGCTTTTAAAATGCCCAAGAAATTAATTTCTCGCACATAAAAAAGAAATTATGAAAATTCCTAGTGCACTTGTTTCACCACTATCAGACTTTTAAATTAAATTTGTTTCTAACAAAAGGTTAAATCTAAAATTGTGAACAAGTTGTGATTTTAAAAAAATATTATTTTATTATCTTTACTTTTGCTGACTCTACCGGTCAACAGGCAGTACAAATAAACTTTCTATTGTGTCTCAGCTTGTCGGAATACTTTATCAATAATGGACCGTGGGACAATAACGACGCGCCTCTATCGATGACTTTATGTCGATGGAAAGTTATTCACGAAGCTTTTGTTTTATGTGAAACTTAACATATTGCTAAGTAAATAACTTACGTTTAACTTTATCACTATGTTATAAAATTTAATGTGTAATATCTCAAAAATTTTTCACGCTTATTGAAATAAATCTAGTACCGATCCATGTAACTAGATGGCGCCTTTAAATTATACTCTTGAACAGTTATACATATCGTTGATCTCTTACTACCTTCTTTCCGTGTTATTCCATGTACTCCTGAAATTGATTTATCTATACTTAATGTAATAAAGTGTAAACACACACTACTTCGTGGCGTAGGATGTCAGCAATCACAGTATGTTTTGGAATACTTCTTTCTTTAATAAAAAGCTCTACACTTACGCAACGCTTAAGGCTATATATTTTCACGCTCAAGTGTACAAATGTATAAAATATAGATCAAGGTAATTTAAATTTTTAGTAGATTTGAAACACTTTGGAAAGCTTATAAATTAATCAATAGAATAATAAAGCAATTAATTTCAATTCAAGCATGCTTTCACTACAAGTTCAATGCCTCGTAAAGTTTTTATAGTTGAATATTTAATCAATACGATTATAATAAAGCGTAAACACACACTTCTTTGTTGCCTAAGATGTCAGCAATTATAGCATATTTTTGAAAAATTCTTTCTTTAATAAAAGCCCTACACTTACCTCACGCTTTAGGCTATATATTTTCACGCCATTAAACTTAGGGAGTAAATATTTTAGATGAAAACCCTAATGTGGGAAAGAGACCATAAGTTGCTGCCAAAATCAAGGAAGCACGGTTGCCACGATTTGTCATCATGTTATGTCATTTTGACATTTGCAATTGTGCGACAAATGTCAGTAATAAAATAAATTTTTCATAATTTCATGCGGATGAAGTCGCACGGGAACAGCTAGTTGTATGTAAAACGTTCAATTTAAATAAAAATATATTCATGATCTAATACCGAAACGAAGATTAAACACTTCCCTTTGTAAGCGCTATTTATAATCTACATTAAAATTTTAATGAAATTTAATGGGATAAGGTCACCCTAATAAGAACCTTGTTACATATTTAAATATTGTTTCAGTATTCGGCCATCAATTACTTATTCTAGCACCTACTACAAATTATGTTAAAAAATTCCCTACGTAGTAGTTTAAAGTTCACTTATTGTAAATCAGTAAGCCACCTATATCTTTTTTGAAATAACATCTATAAACTACTATAAGGTACATCACTATGATGGTTACTAAGCGAAAGTCCATCTCGCTTAATAGAGATGAGCAAACTGTGTTCCGATGGCTCAGTGCCCACCATTTAAATTAACGACTACGTGACTTTGTAATCAGGAGATCTCAAGACAGAGTCACGTGATCAAAGTGTAGCTGACATTTTTTTAGTAAGAGATTTTTTTGCTTATAGTTACAGAACCAAAAATTCGTTTTGGTTGAAAAAAATGAGTTAATATTACCCAAATTAAAGATGTTTTTTTTCTTAAACTAGAAAATAGTATACTCTACACTCTCTACTCTTTATCTAGTCTCTTGTATTTTACACGACTTTATGAAGTTTTAGAGCGGGCGCACACCTTTAACTAAGCTATTGCATTGTTGTGCGATTGTCGATTGTTTTGGAGCTATTTCAACTGTTTAGTTGTACAACTAAAAATTGAGTAGTGTGTCCACCTCCATATAAGTTCATAGGGATCACAGCGAGACTAAACAGTTGTCATCATCATCATCTTTCTCCTTATCCTACCCCCGTAGGGTCGGCGCAACAGGTTTTTGTTCTCCACATCATACGTCATCTCAGTCATCACTCCCTTTTTGATCATGTCACCTTTTACGCAATACATCCATATCTTTATTAGGCTACTTTTAAACAGACTAAACAGTTGTACGAAGGTTTAGTTTCAGATGTGCGCACTTATGAAGGCGGTGAATTTCGAAAAAAGAAAAGAGCGGCAGATAGTATTGTTCATGATAATTATCACAGATGTTCACCGTTTAATTGCTCTATTTAAGATTGTATCGATAAATAGAATACAAAAGAAACGTTGATTAATTTACCGTTCCCATGATGTTAATTAACTATCAATATTCATCCGCCGACCTGTTTGACACACTTTTGAATGGGTTCATATTATCTTTACTAATATAATAAAGCGTAAACACACACTACTTTGTGGCGTAGGATGTCAGCAATCACAGAATTTTTTTGAATAATTCTCTCTTTAATAAAAAGCCCTAAACTTACGACATGTTTTAAGCTATACATTTTACGCTATTAAACTTGGGGTGTAAATAAATTTGAAAAAACCTTCATGTGGGAAAAGGTCCATAATCTACAAGCTGCCAACATTAAGGAAGCAAGGTTGCCGTAGTTTGTCATCGTGTCATGTCAATTGGACATTTGCAATTCATAATTTGACACACCCTAACAATAAAATGAAATTTTAATAATTTCATGCGGACGAAGTCGCACGGGAACAGCTAGTCTTTAATACATTATGTCAAGAAATATGAATGAATGTGTGAATTTAATCTCATTATTATATGTACTTAAAATATTAATAACTATCAGTTTAGTTTACTCTATTTAAAAAAAAAAACCTGTATAAAATATATACATATTTAAGTTATGCTGAAAGCTTCATTGGACTTTAAGTTCTAAAGGAAGTGGGTAAACATTTTACGATTAAATATAATAAATTTTAATTAAAAGATTAGGGCAAATAATCAAAGTGCTACTTGTAAATGTCACAAGTTTGCGTGGTGTCACTTAAAAAGAAATGTCTATCTATCTCTTTCTGATATACGTCCATCTCTCACAATTTCTCATTTCACCGTTCACTTGTTTAGCGACTCGTTGTTAAATATGACCGAGTTCTATCGACGATAGAATATTTATCCTTCTCGACTTTAGCTTCATAGTAATAAAGACACTTTCGGTTTAAAACCAAGATGTCTTAGAACCTTGTCGCTGTAAGTCTGCTGTTGGTAATATGTGTGTTTCTTATTTTACAGTATTAAGTTGGTCAGTCGGCTAGTGGGTTCAACATCGCGGTACAAGACGCACGTATCCAGACGGTGTAGTCGAAATAAAAACTCGTTACGAGAATTGAAAACGTTAATTAAAATGACGAGAAAACCGTTTCGGTGTCGCCAGTAAATATTAAAAAATATTCATAATTAAAAATGTGAAATGCTATTAGGTCAGTAAAGGTGTTAATTTACATTTTTGGGTTTAAGAAATTATAGCGCGGGAAATCGCTTTCAAGATGACTGTCCAAAGGTGTCGATTTGGAAAATTATCCCGTAGTGATGTGAAACAAATATTATTTGTTGTTGTGCTGTTGACGATTTTGGACTATTTGCCACTTAAGTGTCATGGACAAGATTTTGACAGAGGTAAGGTAAAAAATAAAGAAATAATTTCCGTTCTTTTAAATAAAATAAAAGATTTTCCATTTGTAACATAATCGTTGAAGTCTTTTGTATGAGATAATTGTAATTGACTCGTAAAATACTTATTATAAAACATTTTTCGCTATGGAATTTAATTATCTTAACCCAAATTGAGTTAAGACTTCTTTCTAATATATAACAATCGCTTGGGTTCATTTACCGAAATCCGCTGGATTAGTATTATCATAGACGGACCATGAAAGGGGAAAAAACGAAAATACATCCAAATCGGTCTCTTTATATTATCTTTGCATAGTAACTCATTCAGTACCTGTTAAGTAACGTTAAAATTGAACTGGAACGCACGAAACACCATAAGTAAATATAAATGAACTAAAAAATATATTGACACTATCATTAGAAGTGATACGGTCACTGAAAATGTAGGTCAATTTTGAGTACACGTATTACGTAATTTGTCTTAAAATGTTAAATTGACTCAAGAACACCCTAACTCAAGAATATGTACTCTAAGATTTAAGAGTCTTGAGAATACTTATCCTTGAATCTTATTAACAACTAGCTTAAAAAAACAAAAGTGAGTAGCCTATGTGTACTTCCAGACTATCCTCTACGTCTGTACCAAATTTCACCGAGATCCGTTCAACCGTTTAGGCTACATACTCAAAGAAACATCCATCCATCTTCCATACATTTAAACTTTCGCATTTATAATATTATACGAGTAGTAAGAAGTAAGATTAAGTATCATATATAGCTACATCTGAATTCCGATTACAAAAGTATTTTGACGTTTTTAACTCTTTTAATTATTACATCGTCTGCTTCCTTGTAATTGTAATTGTTAATCTCTTATTTTTCAATAAAATTATTTCTATTTCTATTTCAATTCTATTTCTTGTGGATTTTATTACATGAATACGCTAATGTTGTTATATACCAACAAATGCCGGTCACTTTACAAACTATGTTGGCATGAATGATCATTTATTCCTACATTTCCGCAAAGATAACCTACTCTTTCCCATATTAAGATAATACGCATTTCATAAATAATTGGTAGCAAAAAAATACACGGGGTTTCTATTAAATTATTAATTGACAGCTAAACGCAATATTTATTTGCATCAATGTTAAAACGGTCCACTTCAAAGGAGGTCAGTTCCCGAAGTCCGGTATCATTTGGACGGACCGGTCTCGCCGCACTAATGGGGTTAAGGTGTTTTTTACTTGCGCCCAACTGTGGAATTTTTGATTATAGTTCTAAATGCTTTTAACAAAGGCCCGAAATGTTTTCTCTTATCTTACAAATTCTTCACTGACATGTTACAAATTGTACTGTGTTATGGACCTTTATTGGTTTTGTGATAGCTTATTTAGAACAATTTCGAAAGTTAACCAAAAATTAATTAAAAGCCGTCTTTTAAAACATATTGTTTATACTTAGAGTATAAGATCATGCGACTTTTTATAAATACCTTCTAAATACAAAGAAGAAAATTTAAAATTGTCTTGAAGAATGTAGTATGTTAGTGTTTACGTAATGATTTTAGTATGAATGTGCATTAAAATTAATATGTCTATGACAAAGCATAGTTATGGCATCAGACGACACCTGCACAAAGAATCTAAAGGTCGGCATACCGCTGCGTAACCCCTTTTCTATTCTAACACAATTTTCACTTTCTTCGACCTGACTCGAACGTTTACTTTCTATCGTGCCTTATTAAACATCCAACAGACAGCATTTCCGAATAGCACAACGTACAACGCTCGCCCAAATCGAAAGTACAGTTGAAATTGCATTGTAAATGAAATCGAACGAGCGATGTACGACAAATCATGACTTGAATACGAGTTGTAGCTTAAAATTTCTCTGCATTGGAAAGAATATAAGGCAGGTCTTTGTGAAGGTCGAATGCTTTCCTTTTGTTCAAGATGTAGTTTCAACCGATTACAACTATGATGAGGGCAATTGTGTCTACTTGTTACACAGACAGAGAAAATGTTCAATCAATTGCTTATTTTGATATAATGCTTATTTTCTCGTTGTGATTTTTTTTATTAAACACTAGCTTTCGCACGCGACTCCCTATGCGATTAATTAAAATGAAACAAATGTAGCTTATGTTCTTCCAGACTATCCTCTATATCTGTGCCAAATTTCACCCCGATCCGTTCAACCGTCTAGGCTACTAACACTAATAAACATCCATCCATCTAAACCTTTGCATTTATAATAATTAGTAAAATTAGTTTTTTAACACAAGAAAGTTATTAATTTATTTATAATTTTTATTGATAATATACAGTCGATATTTAATTAAAGTTCAAAAGGATATGAAAGAAATAAAACTTGACGAACAAGCCTCTAAGGTTCGTGGTGTCTGGAGACTTGGGACAAGGAAGGCCGACCCCAAATAACTGGGAAAAGGCGAAGATGGAAGAAGAAGATGCTTAATTAAAGATTCATATAACGTTGCTAGTTTTACAGCAAATACACAGAAATTCCTTTATAAACAACTCGTTGACTCGATAACGGTGTTGCGAGATGTTACTTAGTATTTAAGGAGCACAAATATTACCGTACTCTTTACGCACGAACAGATATTCTAGTTGTAATAAATAGACTGAAGCGGTCAAATAGTTCAATAGAAGTTTTTTTTAATTAGACCACGCAACTGTTATAAACGTTATTTTCACAGAATTATTTTGATAGTAAACATATTGAATATATATATTTTTTAATTAGTTTGTGTAATATTGGACTAGGAAATTAATTACATGTACAAGAAATTTCAATGTTTATACGTATATCTGAACAAAACGCTTTCATTTAGATGATGTCCTCAGTAATAACTAATTTTAAGGTAAACGTATTCAACAAAAGCTTACTTTCTGCGTATATGCTGTGAAGGTCATATAGGAAGATAATTATACAATATGGATGAATACATGGATATTTGTTAGAAGTTGTATCAGGTAGCGATTCAACGGATCATCATCTTATCATCTCCCCTGCCTTATCCTACTCCCGTAGGGTCGGCGCACCGGGTTTTCGTCCTCCAAAGCTCTCTATCATCCGTCACCTCAGTCATCACCCCCTTCTTGTCATGTCACCTTTCACGCAATCCATCCATCTCTTTCTAGGTCTACCTCTACCGATGTACCCCTCCACATTCATTCTATCATCCTTCTTGTTACATGCGATTCATCCTTTCTCATAACATGCCCATACCACTCTAACCTTTTACTCCTTATTTTCTCAAACACTGGGGCTACTCAAACTTCCTCCAATATACTCATTTCGTATCTTATCCAATCGTGTTACCCCACACATCCATCTTAACATTCGCATTTCCGCCACATGTATTCTCCTTTCATCCGTCCCTTTTACTGCCCAACATTCAGATCCATACATCATGACAGGTCTTACGACGGTTTTGTAACGATTCAGCGGATCTCGATGAAATTTGGCACGGTTGTAGAACATAGTCTGGAAGAACACATAATCTGCTTTTGTTTTTTTTTTTAATTCCGCGTGGATGGAATCCAGGGAAAATTCTAGTTAAGAAATAAAATAAAGAACTAAGACAAATAAATTTCTTTTAAATAAAAAGCGAAGATAATTTTGTAGAATTTGCTGCATCAAATGCAATTGGAATGCAAAATGCTTTAAATTGATCTAACGTCCATTCGTCACAAACAACTTTCACGTTGTTTTCTCACTGTTACTATAAATTTCTAGTATTGTTTTTATGCTTAAGTTATCGTGACTTGGGAGGTTAGATGTAAGCACTTTCACATACATAATAATAAAATAACCGTATGCACTTATTGATTTGCATCAAACTTTTTAATGCAGGGTTCCAATGCAACTATTATTAATATTTGTTACTTTTGTGAACCCACGACTAGAAAGTTATTTTTAGAGTATCTATGTTTATTATTAATAAAAAAAAAAAAAAAAATAAAAGTTTGTCAAAATTAATAAAAAGTAAAAACCATAGTTAATGTATTACTATCTAACGCAACTCGTGGAATTACAGTAAAAGCTTAAATTTCAAATAAGCGTTTCTTAGTAAATTTTTAATTAGTTTTATTTAGAGAACTTAAAATTGTATTTGTAGATTTAAATATAGCCAAGTTATGTTTCGCGGTAAACATATTGTACATTGCTTAAAAATCTGTGGAAAAACGGTATATGTCTTTAAAAATAGTCCTTTTTTATTAAGATGTTTCTATAATATAATATAAAATCACTATAATAATAGTAACTATAATTAAGTTACAATGTTTTATTTCCGGCAAATATTTTATTGTATCATTTCTAGAGTTGAATCCATACTAATATTATAAACAGGATAGATTTGTATTTTTGTATGTATTGGTATAATCCAAAAACTACTTGACCGATTTAAAACATTGAAGCACCATTATCACTGAGTAACAAAACCAATCCGGTAATAATAACGAAGAAACGTTTACCTAGTTACTCATAAAAGAGGTTTAGGCTAAGCGTCATCTGCGCTCGGCCACCTCAGTGACAACTCAGTTACAAAAAAAAAATCAGTAACAAAGGCTATGGTTTTACAACATTTTTTTTTATCACGCGGATGAAGTCGCGAGCTAGTCCTACTATAAATTCTGCTTGTAAAAAAAACTCAATATATGCAGTTGGTTACTAATAACATATTATGTATTTTCACTTCTTCATACTTCTTCTCGCTAATCAGTTTTACCGTGAGACAGCGAGCGTGCGGGTATGCGTTTCTACCATGCTCTGTTTGTCAACTAGACTTCCGAGACTCCACCTGAATAGGTGTGCGATTTAATTGTATAACGATTAATATTCGGTGTGTACGTGTCGATACAACTAGCTATTGCTCGCGACTACACCCGCCTGAAATTAAAAAATATAGCCCATGTTACTCACTGATAACGTAGCTTTTTAATGGTGAAAGAAATTTTAAAATCGCAACAGTTGATTTTCAGTTATTTCAATACATACAAAAATAAAAATCTTTCCTCTTTATAATATTAGTACCTACAGATATCGATTTCAAAAGTATTATCGTACTAACAAACTTACTTCACAATTAAAATGTTAGAATATAAACTTTAAAAGTTCGCACATTTTTTTTTTTTTGGATGCGAATACGAGCACGAGCACAGCGGTTTGATAATTTATTTCTTGTATCTGTTTTCTCTACGTCTCTAATATCTAATATCCAATATGGATAGTTGTTTGTATAAAGATACATTTTTAGACATACAATCTTAGTATTCTTTATTGTTATATTAAAGTTCAGTAGAAAAGCGATTTTCACTAGCTATCACGTAATCATTTCTCAGATTTAGAAAATACGATTTTCTAGAAGCATTGTATTTAATATCTACCATGGAAAATATAAAATATCGACTAAGATAATGTGTCGAACAGATTATGTGGGAATTGCGCTAATAAATATGCGGTTACAATAGAGCCATTATGAAAAGAGGTTTTATGGTAACTTGATAAAAAAAGCTATAACTGTCTATTCTTCGGCTTCTATTAAACGATTTATTAAAAGATTAACTTAATTTACGCTGACTATGAATTTTTAATGTGAAAAAGATAAAAAAAATAAAACAACATGTAATTTATGTATTAAACATATTGCGTACTATGACGTAAATTACTTCAAGTATAATTAAAGCTTCAATGATTTGGTCAGTCACAATTAAGGTGAACAAAAAAGTTTCAATGATTCAAACATAATGTAGTGTTGTCGTTAGTGATCATTTCTAAGAAAAAAAATGTGTTTCCCGTTAGGTTGATCGTCTATTGACAAATAAGTGCATAGAACGAATTGTTCCAATGGGAAAAAATCCTATTGAGCCGATTGATCAGTAGACCGATCAGCCCAATAGGAAATACTTAACAAGTTGCAGACAAAAACATGATTAAATTAACCACTCACTTTCATTGAAAGTTTAAATTTAATTTAAGTAAAGATCGAATCGACTGTTACGTGCTACTGGCAACTGTTATTCTATGGTATAACTTTCCATTACGCAGTATCGAGTAAAAGGTACGGCGATTTTATTAACAAAAAGAAACAAAAAGTTACTTTCACTATCCGAGAAATGTATGACATCATAACGTCCGTGCATTTCTAACCGATTACGTGCGCTTCGTCATTTTTAAGGAATTTTTCGGTATTGACAGATAAATTTTAATGTCCACATAAGAAAGCGGCTACTTGTGGGAAGTTGAATATTGATACTATATTTGTATGATTATTTAAATAACTTTCACTTTGTTTTTTGTCGAATCGATTTTCTGCATTTATTTGCATGAATTAATCACTATTTGATAGATGCATCATTTGTTTAGATGGATCAATTAATTTTGTGCCACAAATTCATAATCCATACCATATATCTGTAGTAATATAATAAAAGGATAAATTTGTATTTTTGTATATATTGCAAAAAAAAAAATACTGAGCCGATTTCAAGAATACTTTTATCTTTTTTAATTTAGACGGAAGAATGGATGTTAGTTAGTGTTTGTAGCCTTAACGGCTGAACTAATATCGATGAAATTTGGTATAGATGTAGAGGATAGTCTGGAAGAAAATATAGGCTACTTTTGTTTTTTCTTTATTCCACGCGGACGGAGTCGCAAGCGAAAGCTAGTAGGCTATATTTTTGACTACTTAGTTGCACGTGGACGATATCGCAAGCAACAGCTAGTATTAGATAAGGACAAGATATTGTTTAAGCATGAGCATACAACCGTTTCCATAATTTGTTTTTAAATTTATTTACTAAAACACCAATAATACAGAACATAAAAGTAAATATCAACTGTGAGAGATAGTTGTATAATAAATATCACATTGTGTCAATTATTTTCAAAGAAAATGAAAGGAATGGCAACATTGTTGTTATACAGGTTACTACAATGGAAACTCACTCTATATGTATCTTCTCATTTAGCTATATGGTGACTTCCAGTACAATTTCACTTTTAAATGGAGCAGATAAAAAATCAAATAGAAAGCGGATCGCTATTTTAATGTTCTCGATACAATTTACAAATCATTCGTTTAATATTCGGTACGCATCGATGTAATGTAGGTGTTGTTCGAATCCTGTATACTAATGATATCTTTCTTCCGGTAGCATCATTTTAACTATTTACTAGTTTAATAACACTATACAATGTCAGTTTTACATAGACCATCCGTTAATTAACATGCAATTGTTTTTTTACAAGCGCCATTTACATTGCTACTAAATAAAGCCCCTTCAACCAATAATAAAAAATCTCTTTGTATTGATAACGTCCTTGTACTTAATACTAAAATTAACAGAGCTGATAAATACATTGATAGCAAATTAACGTTTAATTTTGTTATTTATTTAGAAGTATATATCTTAATAACTCGTTATTGATGTTAGTTTTAGACTATTTTAATACTATGTTGTTGAAATCCATTTCATTCACCATTGATTTATGTGTACTTTCAGATGCAAGAAGACTCTTTGGCGGTTACAGAATAACACCGACGTACTGTAAAGCATCAAGAGCAGCCAGATATAACAGAGGGGACACAATATGCATGTTCAACCACGAATGTGGTCAAAGAGGAGGAGAGGTCGTAGGTGCTTGTATGGATGGATTCCTCTTTGGAGCTTGTTGTCAACTCAAATCAGATAGTCAATCTCATATTCCGAAAGGTCCCGGAGTAGTCGTTCCCGGATACACGGATTATTCAGAAACAGAAAATGAGGGTGATGAATACGATAGTTTTGAGCAACTCGATTCATGGCATAATAGTTTTAAACCTGTAGTAACTCCAGGATATAGACCTATAGATAAAAATGTTTATACTTTTACAATATCAACTACGGAACCTAATTATAGTACCGAGAGTGAGATATTGTCTGAGGGACTAAGCCACATTACTAATACTTTACTAAATACTCCGCCGAAAGATAATAACATTGGTTATATTAAGCCCGGCAAACCAGATAATATCTATACGCATAGTACGATAAACCACGGCATCCCTGATACAATACTTTTCCATGAAGATGGATCAGAAGTAGAAGATATTGCAAGACCATCTGATTTCAACATACAAATCTCTTCATTGCAAACAAAACCGACTGTAGCTCCCACCACGAGTTCACAATCAACGCCAACGCTAACTATTTCGACACACAGACCTATGTATAAACCAATATTTAGACCAAAACCAGTAAATAAACCAACACATGATAATCCTACTGAAAATTACATACAAGTACCAACAGTAACTAAAGAAACGCAAAAAACTGAATTATCTTCAATAGATAGCATTATTCAAATGTTAAATGAGAGTACACCTAGTATGAAAGAAGAGCCAAGTTCATATGCGACCATTGATATGATGGAGACGAAATCTTCGCCAATTCCATCATCCACTCAATCTTATCAGAGTAGCTCTTATCCGGTTCATCATGTTACTACTGGACATTACGTAACGTTGAAACCATCGTCTTATCCCAACAATGGGTACACTTCGGCGGCTCTTTCATTCACACAAAGACCTGCCACGTTGACAAGTAAACCATCTTATACCATAATTTATACAACACCCAATATAATATCAGAAGAAACTTTACCAGAAAAGGTTCCCCAACCAAATTTCTCCTCACCTGAACCTAGTCAATCTACTAGTCAAGCGATTGAGGCATTCAATAAATATCCCAATGACCCCAGTGAATTTGGAAATACCGTCACTACTTTTAGCTATGTCAGTTCTACCACAACAAAACCAACCTCTACAACTAGAAAACCGCCATCTACCAGTTACGTCACAGGTATAAAACCCTCACGGAAACCAGTTACAGATTCGTTAAACACTGTATCTACCTACAACGTAGCTCAAGACACATTCTCAAGTGCAACACCAACTGTCATTCTTTTAAATAATCTAGAAACAAGCAAACCCAGCTCATCTGGAAACGAAGAACCTGAATTCGTTGAAATATCACAAGAACCTTATAAAAAACCAGTCAATCAAATAACAGTAAACAACGTTATTGAATCTACTAATAACATTTATGTAAATAAGCCACCACAGAAGTTTGATAAACCTGCATCACCTACGGTGGTTATAACTCCAAAACCGTCACCAAGTACTACACCGTATCCAGTAAAGTCTTCCACGAAACCAGTATCAGTTGCAACGTCGGACGTACCGATTTTCGATTCATATACAGAGTTGTACTCACCAACAACTTTGAGACCAGAATTACAAACCTCTCCTGATGATTTAATAAACTTCCCACCAGTGAGAAACCCTATGCTCAATGCTACTGGATCGAATGTAGTCATTTACAACACGACCGTTGACAACGATTTAGATACTTTACAAGAACTAGAATTTACTACACCTTCATGGCATGAAGATGATAAATTGAATGAAAAAATGAATCTCTTCGTAAACAAGATTGTCGGAAGTCTTCAAGGCACATTCCAAGAGCTCCACGATATCGTTATACTTGATAAGAAACCTAACGCAACTATAATCAAAGATACCAAAACAACAACAACAATAAGACCCACGCGTAGAACGCCAGCTACTACACGAAGACCTGTTGTTACGACCAAAAAACCTACACGAATTACTACTACTAGAAAAACTCCGGTAAGAACGACTAAAAAGCCTACAAGGTTAACAACAGCCGTAAGAAGACCAACAACAACACCCACAATCCCAACTACCACAAAGAAAACGGTAAGAAAAACTTACAAGCCTGCCAGCAGATTGTGATGATAAAAATCGATTTTTAAAATAAACATAACTTTAAGCTAAATAACACATAATTAATAAATTAAAGTAAATAATAGTGATAAATAAGGCATATATATTGTAACTATTAAAACATCCAAAACATTCCAATCTTGGTTTCATATTAGTCAAATAAAATTTAAAACTCTAGTGCATCCTCTTGTGATAAAACCTAGCAATACAAAGTGGGCTTGCTCTGGGCCTGTGATGAATGTTGTTTTAGGTAACGACCACCAAAAAGCCTAAGCCAACCAAAAAGGTGACGACCACAACTGTTACTCCCAGCACTACAACTGAACTTTACGATGACATAACGACTGAAAGTTACACGGAACAAGTGATTAACTATGATGATAGAAGCCGTAAGTATTTTTAAAAATTATGTCGGGTAATATGAGTTCAGCATTTGGTTACATGATTGATGTTGATCACTTTTTTCATAATGTTCCAGTATGCGGAGTACGACCGCTTGTAAAATCTGGTCGAATCGTTGGCGGGAAGAACGCTTCATTCGGTGACTGGCCGTGGCAAGTGCTCATCAGAGAGTCATCCTGGTTAGGACTATTCACAAAGAACAAATGCGGTGGAGTGCTGATCACCAATCGTTTTGTAACCACTGCTGCTCATTGTCAACCAGGGTAAGTTTAGATATTAACTACTAGCTTTCGCGCGCGACTCTGTCTTCGTGGAATTAAAATCAAAAGTGATCAGATTATCTTCTATATCTTTGCCGAATTTCATGAAGATCCGTTGATCTGTTTAGGCTTTCGCATTTATAATATTACGAGTAGTAACATTGATATGCAAATATTTCCAAACTCTTAAAGAACATTAAATTTTTGTCACTATATTAATTAGTGTATCTCAAAAGTATATTTTTCTTCAACGAACTTACTGGTCCTGTGTATTACGACATGATGGCTTATCTTAGTACGTATATCGGTTTAAACAGTTCAAGGATTCTTTTGTGCTTTCGTCTTCTCTGAAATTTTATCCCTATGAAAGAATGCAACTAAAAGTCACCTTCATTTAGCAGCTTCATGGGGTCATTGGTAGCAGTGTTCGGTGAGAACGATATATCTACCAACTTGGAGCCGAGGAGACCAGTGGCGAAGAACGTAAGACGAGTGATACCTCATCCTAAATACGACGCTGCGACATTCGAAAACGACTTAGCCCTCCTCGAGTTGGATACGCCGATTAAATACGAACCGCATATTGGTGAGTACAAATCAAATTAGCTCGTCCAGTTTTCTAATTTTAAAATTGTTTCTATTTTTTTTATATTTCTTTCAGTGCCGATATGTATGCCACCTGATGAGGCTGATTTTACGAACCGTATGGCGACAGTCACGGGATGGGGCAGGCTTAAATACGGCGGTGGTGTTCCTGCTATCCTTCAAGAAGTTCAGGTAATGTAACTTCTAACACATTATTTTCTCCCTCAAAATTACTATTTAATTGCTGTCTCAATGTTTTCTAGGAATAAAAGTAATTTGTAATCTTCACCAAATAAAATTTGCTATAATCCTATATGCTTATATTTTGGGAGTAATCTAAATCGAATCACACATTACACTTCAAAATAGGTTACAATATAATAGGAAACTGTATTTTTTCCAGGTGCCAGTGATGGAGAACAGTCATTGCCAGTACATGTTCCAGACAGCGGGACACTCTAAGAAAATACTAGATTCCTTTATCTGCGCTGGATATTCTAACGGGAAGAAAGACTCCTGTGAGGTAATTGTTTCTTGGTTATCAATGTTCGTGGGAAGAAAATACAGATCATTTGATGAAATAATCTTGAAAAATAAACAAATTAATAGAAAATGGCTAAAATTATCTATGGAGTCTGATACATTGGTTGACAAAATAGAAATTTTTCACATATCAGGCTTTATTCAGGCTAAAATAAATTGAATGCATTTACAACATATATTTACGACTTCAATGATGAATTTTTATAAGTATTAACAATCATTCGAATTGACTTTAAGAAATCTAGATAATTTTTTTTTATATACTCGATTGTCATTTTTTTTCTTTATTTTTTACGTAGACTGTTTAGTTTATTAGAACGTGCTAGTTAAATAGTTTCTACAAAATAATTACAACTATGTTGTCAACATTGCAGTGTACATTATTCAATTAATTTATTTAATTTCCAGGGTGACAGCGGTGGTCCTTTGGTGGTGAAGAACGATGATGGAAGATGGGTGTTAGTGGGCACGGTATCTCACGGCATCAAGTGCGCAGCGAGATTTCTACCCGGCGTCTATATGAGAACTACCTATTATAAACCGTGGTTTAAAAGTATAACAGGAGTGAAATGAATGCATTAGAAGTGCTGGGATATAACCTAGAAATGTCACTTTGAATACCTTAAAATCAAACTAAATAAGCTCAACTTCTAAGAATGCTCAAAATTTTAAATAAAATAATACAATTTTATTTACCAAAGTTTTGCATAAAAAATACATAAAACACTCCTTTAAAAAAACTATTTTCAGTACAAGAATGTACATAACATTGAGTTAATTAATGTTAATGCATTAAAAACATTATAAGTATCAAGCTTGATTTAAAAGAGAAAATTTGAAACATAAGTCACATTAATTTTCTTACGTTGAAACTCAACGTGCTCTCTAAATCAGAATTCAATATAGTCAAAAATAATTGGATATTTTAGAAGACACATAAAAGATAATAATTAGTATACGTTGTATAAAATATTTGTTAGTTTTAAGCTTTGTACATTAAAAGGCATTTATTTATTTAAATCTAGTTTGTAAAGTGAACAATTGAACTGTTCTGCATTGACAAAGTGACTACCTTTGTCCTTATTGACTATATTTTAGTCGCTCAATTTATATAAGTAGGAAAAATATTTAATTTTAAAATGACTGTTATGCATTTAATAAAAAATAAGATCTATCTGGAGTATTATTTTAATAGGACACGAGATCATTTTTTTTTCTATTATTAATTGCAAAGTTTGACATTTCTGTACGTTACGAATAAACTTAAAAATTACTTTTTCAAATTCAAAAATTATTTTAACTTTAGAAAGCTACATTATTACTGAGTAGGCTATATTTATTACTAGATTTTTTTTTTAATTTCCCGCGGACAAAGTAGTGAGTAAATTTTTCTACTAAATAGTGGAAGTTGATTATGGAACCTTGAAGAATAAACGTGTTTCTGTAATCACTAAATTTGCGATGAAATTGATTTATAAAGATGTAAAAAAAAATCACGCTAATCAAAATGGGACTCTAGTTCTGATAATAATTTTAGTAGTTAACTATTGATTCTTTACGGAAACTCAAGAGATAATCACAAGCTCTTTTGACTATTAACAGTAGTGATTTAAAATCAAGTAATTTTGCTTCATAAACTTTATTACAGTAACATTGGTTATACATTTTTTGGTTATATATTTTATGTCAATTACATCTAATAATTTCTAAGTTACTACTTAATTTCTACTGAATCTATATTTAAGCAAGAAATTTATAAAACCCCATTCGAACAGCAATCATCTCCCCGGACCTTATCCTACTCCCGTAAGGTCGACGCACCGGGGTTTCGTCCCCCAAATAACTCTATTATCCGTCATCTCAGGCAACACCCCCTTCTTGGTCATATCACCTTTCACGCATTCCATCAATCTCTTTCTAGGTCTCCCTCTACCGGTGTACCTCCACATGTTATTCATCCCTCCTCATAACAAGCCCATGGTATGGGTTAACCTTTTACTCCTTACCTCCTCTACCACTGGGGCTACTTTCAGACTTCCCCTAATATACTCATTTCGTATCTTATCCATTCGTGTTACCCCACACATCCATCTTAACATTCGCATTCCTGCCACATGTAGTCTCCTTTCATCCGTCCCTTTTACTGACCAACATTCAGATCCATACATCATGACAGGTCTTACGACGGTCTTGTAAATTTTGAGGCTAATTTACGTGTCGTATAGTAACCCTGTGACCTGTGTCCATTTCATCACATCCCGTTGTTAATCTATTTGCCATATTACGATCAATATGGCCGTCGCTTTACATTGCTGAAAGTTGGAGCTAACAGAGAGATTAGCGTCATCTAAGCAATTTAATAAAACTGGACAAGCCCTCGATGTCGCAGAATAATTGCTCAAAAATTGGAACAACAATACAATATATGATTTTGAATATCTTAAACATAGTTTAACTACTTTTTTAAAGAACATCATAGTATATTTATTGATATTGCACAGCAGATTTAAAAGATTACTTGTTTTTTTTTATTTCAACTTCCTATTCTAATCTCTATAAATTCTAATATATCGTCATTTGTTGATTAAATACCACATAAATCTTATTAATTTACAACATAGTATAATAACATCGAAATACATAAAATATAATATGACAAATGAACATACAAATGTTATTTATAGACTAGGACTGGAGACATATATTTTCTTTTTTTTTTAATTCCAATCTACGCAAGCAAGGTAATCGATCGCAATTGTATATAAAATATATTTTGAAATTACACATAATACTATTAATCATCATTCCAAAGATCTGGTTATAAATTCTTCGTAGACTAAAGCATGAAACTTATCTAATAAAATATTCAAATGCACATTATAAAATATTCTCTAGTGATTTATGTCAAAAAATGAATTAAACAAACTACAAAAGTAAGCCATTTCAGTATTCATTACTGTTCATAAATGGATTATTAATCACTTAAAATTATTTATAACAAATAAGTACTTAGAACAAATGTAAAAAAATTGTGCAAACAAAAGCCCCCTTTTTATTTATAAGCAACGATCATTTAAACTGTAATTAAAATACAACGATAAGTAAATAAAATAAATACAATTGAATAGCTACATTTCGTTAAATAGACAAGTTTTCTTTTATTTTCCAATTTTTCCTTTATAATGTAAGCATTTTTTACAGATTGCATCAGCCCTGTCTCTAATAGACGGTGTAGCGATAGCTCTATCCGGTTCAGGCTTAGCATCTTCTACTTCAAATGGACCTTCACTAAATTGCTGAATTAATTTCTTAATATAATTCCCCGGACCACGAATTGTTAGTTTGCTGCTAGAATCATCTGTTTTAGCCTCAACTTTTTCGTTGCCATCTTTTGTTTCATTCTTTTGTCGAAATTCGCTCAACATTTCCAATCCATCTTGAAAATTCTCAAACGCTTGAGTGATTCTATCACCAATATTAAGTTTCTCTTCGATAGCATCAAAACGGACAGTTTTCTGTGTTTTATCAATCTCATCGTCGAAGGTTTTAGAGCTAGTTGGGGTTATAGTGATTTCACTGTTCTTCATATCTATGGTTATTTTAGCATCGTCCAAGCTGAGGCCCATAAGAGATACGTCCATGGATTTAGATCTGTGCGGTTTTGTTGGTATTTGTAATTGATTTGCATCGGAAACTACATCTGGCTTAGCACTGATAGATGGCGCTGGCGATGTTGACTTGGATGATTTTTCGCCGGGGCTTGATCCTGAATTTTAATGATCTTTGTAAAAAGAAAAGAATGTTTTCAAAACTTTATCTTCAAATGAAATTTTGTAGATGAATGTCAGAGGTTTTGTAAATATTGTTCTATAGAATGATGAAATATAAAAGATTAGATTTAACAGCTATTTGATTTAATAATTGCTATTTGAAAAGTGCTGAAGGCATTAAAGCTTATTTCCAGCAATGAGCACAAAAAGGCTGATGATGATGATTTAGAATACCGAGATTTCGGACCCAAAGAAGTAAAGTATGCAGTTAGTTAAGAAGTAGTCATTTTTAAAATTACATCAAAACCGACACCCATAATACAGAACAATTACCTCAATACTTTGCTTCAATTGGACCACTTTTCGATCCTAAAATAAAGAATTATTTTTTTTAACTACATACATTACAACAAAAACACAAAACAACCAACTTAACGAAAAGAGAAAATGCAATACAACAAAACACAAATAACTAGAAGAGCATTGTCATGGTAACAAACTTGCAACTAAATCAACCAACTGAAAAGACAACTAACAAACAAAAAGCTACGAGTAAAACAGGAGACGCAAAGATAAGAGGAATAGCATTTCAATACACTTAAGTAGCGGAACTAAAATCAACCAAAACAAATGAAAACACATTTTAAACTAAAAGTTAGCCAAATAAAACACAATCTACCAATAACGTTCTAACTCGTTAAACGTACCGGCGGACGCCTCATCCCTTTCCTCTTCCGAGCATAGAGGAAGAGATTGTTCCATCATAAGTCCCTGAACCATATCCATGCAGGAGTCCAGCGAGAATTTCTTCCCGCACATCTTGATGCCTCGGATACGTCTACGCATCTCTGGCATTATCGTATTATTAATAAGATTTATTTGCCGTTTGTTTAAAAGATTTTTTTCTATAACTTTTGTACTTCGACAGGATTTTATGATGTTTCATAAAAAGGATCATAAAGTACTTATTTTGACGATATATTCACGGAGTAGAATATTTTTCAATAAAATCGTAAGAAGATAACTCTAGAGCCCATTAAACGAAATATAAAATGAGATTTGAAGAACAACATTTTAAAGTAAAACTAAAAGAATTAAAATCCGCGACCTCAGATAAGTTGCAACGCCTATGTTCAATGTAATATGTAATTTATAAGAAAACAACATTGTTATTTTCCTTTCGTGTTTAGTTAAAATGTTTTTATAACAATTTGTACTTACCGGGGCTATCTTTAGGCTCCATTTTCAATTGAGCGAAGGTCTGAGCACACGAGTTGAGGACTTGCTCGTAATCGCAGATAGCCACGTGAGTTCCATTAACAATTTTAGGACTCATCGGACTGTTGGCAAGAAGCAGACTCGTTCCGAATGTAGCGTTTAGTTCACGAGTTTCTAGAATACAAGAAAAATACCAAATTAAACATGATTGATTAAAGACTATTAGTTGTTGCTTACGTCTTCGTCCGCTTGGAATTAAAAATTGTAATCAATGTAGCTAGCCTATGTTATTGAGTTATATCTATTGATAAAAGATTTTTTGAAATCGGCCCTATAGTTTTTGAGTCATTACAATACATATACATCTTTCCAATTAAAAAGTTATGTCTGTATAGATAATCTAAAGCTCAAAAAAATGTTATCAAACCTTATTACGATAATCTATTTTAATAAGTATACCATTGAAGACAAAGGTATTATAAAAAATATAATAGTATACCTTTAAGAGAAACCCTAGGCTTCTTCGGTACGACAACATTGCCGTATTCAGATCCAAACATTTCAATCAAAATTTCAGACGCGACTGCTTTGATTTCAGTCCAATCATCTGGAAAGAAAAAGCATAAATATGTTACTTTAATAAATTATTTTGTTATTTAGCAACATTAAGCTGAAGCCAGACTCTAAAATAATGAAAATATCATTAATAACTACATAATAAAGTTAAGATTTTTTTTATTAAAAAGTTTAGTAGCAGTGTTAAAATTTAAGTAATTTATTTGCAGAATTCCCATTTACCGATGATATCCTGATTAGTCGTCCGTTGTGACGTCACTGTGAATCGAATGACGTAAACACTCTTGAAACAAGCGGGTACGGCGTGAATGTAGCCGCGAGCATTTAAACGCTTCAGTAGACGTTCTGTCAGAGCATTTTCTCCTTTTAGACGAAATGCAACCATCCCTGGAAAATGTTTTATTGTATACATTATTTAATACTCCTCGGTAATAGATGTCTGTAATAGGTTCAAAACAACATTTCAATAAAATTAATTGACAATAGTTGTAATTAAATATTTTTTTATTTCATTTTTTAACGCCATTTAGTCTATTTCATAACAAATGATGGAGCTTATTATACTTTTGTAAAATGTTTTATTACATGTCAATATAAGGACACGTCTTGACAATTGATATAGTACCTTTCAGAGAAAGTACCGGTGAAAAAAAAATACTATGCCTATTTGTTTTTTAAATGTCTTTGCTTATGAAACATACCCAAATTCCTGCTCTGCGGTATTTCGAAACGTTGATCAGCTAACACAAGAGCTTCAAACTTCTGCGCCAATCGTACACTCTACAACAAACAAATGAATAACATTTTATAGTCAATACTGAAATAACTCAAAAACGATTGGGCCGATACAAAAATTCTTGCACCATTAATAATTTATGTCATCGTTGAATAATATAAGCTATATATTATACTTTTTTTTAATTCCACGCTGATAGTCTCGGTCGCCAGTTAGTCTTTATAAAACGGTAATCTCTCTTAGAGAATCATCATTCAGAATCATTACAAAGTATGCCGTCATTATGGTTCAATTTACCTCACGAATGTGTTTCTGTAATCCAACAACTCCGTAGTTCCGCAGCACGAACCAAAGCTTCAGAGCTCTAAAGCGACGACTCAACGGTATTTGCCAATGCTGTTAAACAAATATCAAATTAATATTTCGGCAAATTAATTTGTAGTGATGTGATTGTGTTTTATTTCATACTAGCTGTTCCCATTCGATTTCATCCGCATAAAATTATATAAATTTCATTTTATTGTTCACATTTGTCAAATTATCATTTGCTAATGTCAAAATAACATAACATGATGTCAAACTATGGCAACCTTGTTTCCTTGATGTTGGTAACAACTTGTGGTCTCTTTCCCACATTAGGGTTTTTATCAAAAATATTTACCCCTAAGTTTAACGTCGTGAAGATGTATAGCCTAAAACGTGACGTAAGTGTAGGGCTTTTTACTAAAAAAAGAGTTATTCGAAAACATGCTGTAATTGCTGACATCTTAGGCAACAAAGAAGTGTGTGCTTACGCTTTATTATAATAGAATAGAAAGTATAGATTACACATGCAGTTGTTTTGTTTGTTTAGAGAGAGCGTACACCTTTGATTAAACTATCGCACAACTGTAGTGCGATTGTCGATTGATTCGTAGCCTATTCAACTGTTTAGTTGCACAATTAAAAATCAAATAGTATACGCATCTTTACGTAAGCTCATAAAAATCGAAGCGCAACTAAGCAGTTGTGCGATAGTTTAGTCAAATGTGCGCGTGTTTGTACTGGAACATTTCGTTATTTAATACGAAATAAACGGTTATTTATAGCAGTTAATTTTAATGCTATATTTATCAAAATCAGTAATTGTTTAGCAGCCACCACCTAACTCCCAAGTAAACCACCACCAAAAGAATGAAGATTCATACTAGTGGTTCTTTCTTATCAGGATTTTCTAGTTGTATGTTTCCCCCACAGCCTGGAGATATCTTATGATAACCGTGGAGATTACTAGTTTTGTCGTCACCATTTTCTTCGTACGTAGTGTGACCGTTAACGCCATTAACATGTTTTGCATTACCATTTGTGTAAACACCGTTCGTTTGAATTCCGACAACTTTTTTTCTTGTATTCGATTTTTGTGTTCCAACCTAAATATTCATATAAAATAATTCGTAATTAATTATTAGCCGTGCTTACTTTAATTTGTGTTAATTGCTTAAGTTATGCTTACCATGTAATCGATTGCCTTTCCTGAAACAAAAGAGTAAAAAATTGTATAATGTTGAACAAAAAAAATGAGCACTTTTAACAAAGATATTTACCGGAATTTTCATGACGTAAGTAGATCGGATTAACATTGAAAGTCCTGTGCAGAGCAGTACTGTCCTTCACCCTGTGAATGTTATTTTTTTTTATAAATAAACAAATGAAAGTGCATGAAACAAAACGACAAAAAGATTAGTTAAGACACTCACCACATGGCGGTGCAGTCGAAATTTACCATCAGCCACTTCGAAGGATTGAACGCAAATGAATCAGCTAGCTCCACTCCATCCAGCCAATGCCTAAAGTATATTAAGATAGACAATTATTTGACTAGACTACGAGTATGTCTCACATAGACATAGTATTTGACTAAATGTAACGCGGCAATTATCATCCAAAGAAAAATTCTACTGGTCAACTTTACATTATAATAAGACTACAAAAATCGGAAGTTTATTAGAAATCTCTCAGTTTTAGCAAGCGAACATCTTTGACTAAAAATCGCACAACTGTTTCATCGCGCTTTGATTCCTAAGTGCTTATACGGAGGTGAGCACACTACACGATTTTAGTTGTGCAACTAAACAGTTGAATTAGCTGCGAAACAATCGACAATCGCACAACTGTCTTGCAATAGTTCATTCAAAGGTGTGCGCCCGTTCTTAAAAAATTAAATCAATTTTAAAATTTGAATTCCGAAAACAAAACAAAATCGATTAACTTTTTAAAGACAATTGTTTACCTATATTCAGGACAAATAAAAGCGCTCCCCGCATAAGCCGCGTCGACATGAAGCCACGCGGAATGCTTCTCACAGACCTGCCCGATCTCCCGCAGGCTGTCGAATGCCACCGACCCTGTAGTACCCAAAGTCGCACAAACCTAGGAACAAAAAGAATAAATATTTAGTTTTAAACAGTTAACAGTAAAAAAAATCAGCATACGAACATCATCAAATAATTTGAAAAATGCTTATTTAAAGCAAGCGTTTAATTTTCTTGCTTTATTATCGAAGGCCATGAAGGTGTACTTTGCTCGTTGTCTGCCTCATAAATGAGATAAAAGAAATCATAAAAACAAAACAAAACTTATTAATATAGTAATCCTGTGTATTTCGATGTATTTTTAAATTATTTAATTGTAATTAATGGTATATTATCACAGTTTAAAACGTACTAGAAATTAATAATCCGTCAGTCTATCTCAAGTCCTATTAACGGTGCTCATTATGCACGTTGATAGGCAATTTTATGTCTTAATATAAGCTTAATTATGTTTAAAATTAACTAGGATTCTGCTACAATGTTAAAATTTTTAGCGATAGTAACATACTGCATCTTGCTTTATAATAGCTAATATAGTGTCATTGTAAAAACAACTCTATTACATAAAACATTTGGCGTTATTTCGACTAATGAGTTATCAGTCTGCTGAAGATTCTAATCAACGGTGGTAATTTTTTCTCAATTACATAATTTACATTTATTACAAACACAACATTGTATAACATATGTTATCGACTGTTGTAATGATACTAATCTTCAAGTGACATGAGATGCGGCTTAAGTGATTAGAGAGAAAGTCCTAGTTCTCGATAAACGAGCGGATTACGTACTAATATTAGATTCAATTGCATGTCAGTTGGAAAACATTGTTACCTCACTTACCAACAAGATATGAGATCGGCTATTTTATTTGAGAACTATATGTGGCCCCAATTTATTTAAATAAGACAATGTGTCAAAAAAAAACCGCGGCAATACAAAGCTGCCTAAAAAGATACCTCTTGTACACTCGATTCTGAAGAGCCTAAGTCATACTGATTTAAAAAACCGCCAGGACAGACTGTTCTACAAAAATATGTCTTAATTTCTACAAAACATACTAAAATATACTAAAAATTATTTCATAGAGTCAGCGAAGCGTAAAGAAATGTTCTACAAAACAAGAGGTCTATGTAATAAGTCCCGTAAATCCTATATAAGTTAATATAATCGTGACAATACGATACGATCGATTAAAATTAAACACAAAACAAAGAAAAAGTCGCATATATGTCTACAAACGTAATTTACTCCGTGCTTCTAATAAATATTGAGCATTAAATATAAACAATATAAAAAAACACTAAACAATATGCATATCTTTCTAGCAAATCTTCTCTGTTACAATTCCTCGGCTCGCTTATTACTTGCGCTTGTCTTGAATAATGATTCCCTTCCATAATCTCTGCAATACAAATTGGCCCCAATGGGAGCACTGCCATACTTCGCCTTATATTAAAATGTAAACAATTAATCTCTACATAATGATAGCTTTAATTTGAGTGCTTCTAAAGATATTTCTTTTAAAACCATCTCATGGGATTGATGATTGTTTGTTAAAAATATTCTAGAAATAGAATCATAAATGATATTTTTAAACCAGATTAGTTATTGCTTCTGACTTCGTCCTGGTGAAATTAAAAAAATAATAAAAACATAGCCTATATCACTGAAAACATCATCATCCACTTGCCCTTATCCCTTACGGAGGGTCGGCACAGTATGTGCTGCTCTTCCATACATATCTATCAGCCGTCATATCTGAATCCACTCCTTTCCTAAGCATATCCGCTTCCACACAATCCATCCATACTTTCTTCGGTCTTCCTCTTCCTTTTAGCCATCCACATTCAATCTTAACACTTTCTGGTTTATGTCCCCATCGTTTCATCGCATAACACTAAGCCTATATTACTGAAAACGTAGCTTTTTAATGGTGAAAGAATTTTAAAATCGGCCCAGTAGTTTTTGAGTTATTTCAATACATACAAATATACAAATCTTTCCAAAAAAGATGTAATATAGTTTTTTAGTGTTACGGTCAACAAGCTTGTAGGTAATAGAATTTTTAGAACAGATTCATTGTAAACTTTCATAACAATAATATTGATTATTAACACACTGAATGGAAATTATTTACATTTTCAGTTAAACCAAAGTAGGTAAAAATGTAATGTACTCACCCAAAAAGGCACAAGTCCCTTGGACTTGTCGTTGAGAATCGCTTCTTCGAGTTTGTCACCGCGCATGCTTTGGTTCGCGTCAGACTCGATGTATCGCATTCGAACTAAACCTACAACAACAAACAATAATTAAACTTTTTACATCAAACAACGTAAGAAGTAAATATAATATAACTACCACAATTTAAATAAAAATTTCCATCTACCCTCATACATTTAAAATTAACTACTATTAAAAATTGTTATTAAAAAGATTCCCTGTCGTAATACTTTAATGCTAGCACGGAGGGTAGTTGAACAATTAGCTAATAAACAAACTTGCTTACAGCACGCTTCAATACATTTTTCTTTGTTGTTTGTGTAATTTGTTTATGATAAATGAATACGATGCAACAAACATGTGCTAAAATAATCAATGAAAATAAAATCATTTTAACATACTTTTAACAAATAATACCAGTGACCAACTAACCAATCAGCCCCGCTTTTTCCACCGAAGAATGAGCTTGGTCGGAGCAATAACAGATAAGATGACCTAGTAGCTCGGAAGATTGAAGATCAGGATTCAGTTTGGACAACTCCATCAATGCTCTGGTACGTGCCGCTAGCAGACTCACCAATGTTGCTTCACTTGCAGTTGTCTAAATAACATAAAGCAAATTAGACATCTGTAAATACGACGCAGTAAATAAATACGTTGGTAATTCTCTGCCCCCTTAGATCGCGGATCGAAAAGTCATAAATGTATGGAACTGACGATAACATTTGATAAGTCACGTCCATATTCATTCCTATTTGTTTTGACACTTTTTGTCGATTCTTCATGCGACATCGCTAATCGAAAGTCACTTTGTCGGGCTGTTCTATTTATACCCAAAGCTTGTAGAGTGAACTAGAATACTAGGAAAATTAATACTATTTTATCTATACTAATATTGTAGATTTGTATTTTGGTATGTATTCGATTCATGTAAAATATTCTGGACCAATTTCATAAATTCTTTCAACATTAGAAAGGTGATTTATCTGTGAGCAATATAGGTTATATTTTTATAAAATTCGTTATAATGGCAGTTGTGAGGAAAATCTTACCTGAATAACTCCACCTCCAGGACTATCATTCTTCTCGTTGAGGAAGCAGTCTGGAAGTCCGAGAACTTTTCCCAACCAGTTCATTGCAATCGTCTCCAATTCAGTCCCGGCAGGAGATGAAGCCTTTATCAATTAAAATTATTTAGAAACCGAATTAACGGGGTAGTTTAAAATATGTGGCGGAGTGACGGGCGGTTTGCCAACTTAATTCCGAACGTATATTACACGGTAAATTATCCTCTATTGTGGGTATGCGTATATCAGAGATAATAAAATAACAATCGTGTAATTTCAAAAACACCGTCCGGATAATAATTACAGCTTCTCTAAGTTAAAAATTTTAGTATTTTTCCTTTTTACTTTCTCGTGCGAGTTATTCCAAAAAAGGAACAACGGTACGACAGCTCAATTATTAGGCTTGAAAAAAATAAGCACTGTTAACACATTACTTTGGACGTAGTGACAATTTTAAGTGAGAAATCTGACTTTACGATTTTTTACAAAAAAAATCAATAATTTTAAAACTACAAAGAATCGGGCGCTTAAACGATAGCTATTGAGGTACTTTAACTCTTATAATATTGTAAACTGAATTTTCTTACCCAGGTAAAACAAAGGACGTTCAACGCGCTAGACAACATTTCCCCCATTATGGAAGGATAGCAAGTGAGAGCTGGAAAATACGCGTGCATATGCGGACTCTGCCAATGTACAATCTGTGCAAAAAAAAAACAAATGTAAGTAATGCACCTTATTATTGCCTATCTGCGAAATACAATAACATAATTAACATCTCTGCTATAAAGAAAATTAAGGGTTGTAAATTGATAAATTTATGGTAGAAAGTCCAGTGTCGTAAACAGATGTATTTTATTTCTTACTATTACTTACAGCGTCAATGAATTGTAGTTATGTTTTCGATACATATTATATATCCCGGGTTTATATGTATGTTTATATTTATTTATTTGTTTTGTATCATTAGAACTTCTTTATAGTGTACCTTTTCGTAACCTCGGAATTCGAGCGCAACTAAACATACCCCGGGCATAATATGTTCTTCAACATCTTTGAAGATATCGTCCCATTTCTCTGGTAAATGCGGAGCTTCGTTAGGCAGCCTCTTGTGGAGGTACCCGGGCTGCACACTGGGGTACACGCGTCGGTCTCTGATATTCTCCAAATAATCCGCTATGTAGTCTACCATCTCCTTTGCTGTTTAAAATCGAAAACTATTAGGCTACCATGAAATAGGTAGAAACTTTGGATCAATGGCCGTATTTAATTTGGTATCTTGAACCATACTTATTTTAAATTATGGTTTTTAAAGTAATTTAAATATCGCAATAGAGGTCGAAATCAAGAATGTAATTGTTTAAAAGTCGATCAAAAAAAATTATTGACCATTTTATATGAAGTAATCGGAATAATGTTGGGATCATTCTTAAGAAATTAATATTGATTTCAAATGGGTATATTGCGATATATTCAGTTATCAGGAAACTTCTTTAACAAAATTTATTCTGTTTCAATTTCGACAAAAAAAAGGAAAAATTAAATCAGACATGCAACAAAAGAATAAAAAAAAATCAAATCAACCGACTCCTATATGACTTTTACAAAAAGCATGTCTCAGATGCATTTCAAATGTCCATTAAGAATGCGTAAATAACAAAGCTAAAAGAAATAGTAATCGAGTGGACTGTTTTACAAAGAGACTATCCAATTGACCGAACAACTGCGCCTTGCTTTAACTTGCGAATACCTCCATAATAAATCTTTTTATTTCTTCACATTAATATTATTTTCAGAACAATATTTTTCGCATCAAAAATCAAAACCTGTCAATATTTGAGTATGTATTTGTAAGGACTCTGCAAAGGACGTCGTTTTATCGTTGACGATGAAAAACAAATGATTACAACTAATAGTGAAAAGTACATACTCATTTAGTTAAATCAAATATCTCATTGAAAAGAAGATAGTGATGCATTTAATGACAAATGAAAGACCGATCACGAGGACGAAAAACTGTGGTGTCGAATGCACATAGAATGCGATAAAAACAAGGGAATGTGATAAAATATTATTACTTACGCTGACAATAGGTACAGTCAGCTTCATAAATAGTATAAAGATCCAATACATATTATGCAGCTGACTGTACATCCAAATTGATCGTCCTATTACATTTTGTTCAAATAAACAGTCGGGACACATTGGCCATAAAAGAGGTTTAGAGTTAACTGACAAACGACTCAATAAGCGAACATTTAGCATGGCGCAAATACGTCGGGATCAATCGGGACCCGTTTTATTTTATTATGCACAGTATATTGGATTCTCGAATGATCGTAGTTGCAACAAGTCTGTGATATACACGAAATTATAGTTCAAATTATATTATACTCGTAGACTATAGGATTTACAGCTTTAAATCTTGAATGTTATCTTTTTTATTTAAAGTTTAAACATAATGCACATCATAGAATAATATTATAATAACACACATAATTACTATTTGATATGAGACACACACAGACACACACACAGACTTATTATTTGATATGCTTTAGTTTACCATTTAGGGGAATTTTACACTTTGTTACTTTTTTTTTACTTTTAACTCTTAATTTTACACTTCTGCACCTTGGTAAAGAAGATTTTTTATTCATTTGCGAACATAAAATAACGGACAATCCATTCAAGATATAATTCCATTCTAAATGTAATTCAAGTAATGTTACAGTTATAATGAGACTAGGACAAATAATACTGATCTTAATCATTCGTATAATAACAGCTTTGGTTAATCAAATTATAGCGCGAGGCGACAAATTCGAGTAATTATTAAGCCAAGAGTTGAGTTGTCATGGCCACTACACCTGGTGATGTTATAATTATTACGTGAAAATATTCTCAGACTACAGTAAATAAAGGGTGTTCAGAAATATTAAATGGTGAGTAAGGAATACTGTATGATTGGAAAGTACTAAACGGGAACTACCAAACCAATTTAATATTTAGCAGCTTCCTATAATTTTTATTTAGTATAGAAAATGATATAAAAACTTATAATTTTTTCAGTATAAGCTGATTTATGTCTCTGTTTGTTAGTAATAAATTTTAAATATATGTATTATGATGAAGTATTGGATTTTAAAAAATAAAATGTTGTTACATACCTTTTACACGAAATTCTTTGTGATCCATTATTATTTCTTTTATCTGCAACAAAAAATCTCCAGTAAGTTTCTATTTGTTTGTGGGTTTCCTAGATTATTTTCTACATGCTCAGTTTAAAATACATTTTACTTACTTAGATTCACTTATTTTCACTACAATAAGCTACTTAAGTTAAAATTTGAGATTTTCTATTTATTTCTAAATTTATATTAGGCCATATAAATATGCTCCAAGAAATTTCACTTCTTTAAAAAGTAGTATTCTTTAAAATAGCGGTCAAATAAATATTAAAATTGGGTAAAACTGCTATCTAACTTGACAATGCTAAAGACGGAAATGAAGTAGGTCATATTCAAAACTTACAAGTTTTGACTTTTAGAGTGTGAAATTATATATGAAAATATAATTGGCACAAATTATATCTAACTAATAAATATACATAACTTAAAATCCAATTATTCACAGAGAAAACTTCAATTTAACTTCAAAAATACCCTTTAAACTACACTTACACGAATTCTTTTATTCACTAATAAATCGTATTTCCAACTCAAATAGAACTGTAGGCTGTGTTTCGTGTTTTACAAATAATCCGAGTCTGTCAGTAGTCGTTGTTTAAGTCATATCGACATTTTTTCTATGGCTTCTTTTGCGTGTAGTCGAAGTGGAATAAAGTAGTGTGTTCCACTAGGGACTGACCTAGGAACCGATTTACTAAATATATATTTTAAGGTGGGTCGGTGGCTCAGGGGTTGACTTGTAATCTACAGGTCTTGGGTTCGAATCCTGTTATGTGCTAAATTTTCAATTTTTGTATTTCATCTTACTAATATTATATAATATTATAAATGCGAAAGTTTAGATGGATAGATGGATGTTTGTTAGAGTTTGTAGCCTAAACGGCTTCACGGATTTCGATGAAATTTGAAATGTAGTAGAGGATAGTCTGGAAGGACATATAGGCTATTTACTTTTGTGTTTTTTAATTCCACGCGGACGGAGTCGCGGGCGAAAGCTAGAATGTATATAATTTAGCTGACGTTCTAACAGTAAAAGGAATATTGTGATTCAACCTGCACATATCAGTGAAAAATTCAAAGATATGTGTGAAGTCAACCCGCATTGGACCAGCGTAACTATAGCCTAGTCACACCTTACTTAGAGTAGGCTTCGAGTCTCTCAGTGGAGACATAGCTGGTGTTAAAAATGATGATATTTTAAGCATTTAAGTGTTACATAAAAAATCAGGAGACAAGAATTTAAATTTTTATGGTAACAAATTAGAAGCTTAACTAAATTTCGTTTGTAATACGATTCAAACTTTGAAAGCTTATAAAGCTCAAAAATATGTGATAGGGAATTTCGAGAATTCTATAATTAATTTCGTTTAAATCATTTTTATCTTGTCAGTTTATTATACTTTTTATTTACGACTAGCTGTTGTTCGCGACTTCGCCCGCGTGAAATTAACAAATATAGCCTATGTTACTCAGAGCTAAATTACCTTTCTAACGGTAAAAGTTTTTTTTAAATCGGCCCAGAAGTTTTTGAGTTACTTCAATACATACAAAATTTATAATCTTAGTACAGATATAGACTAGCCGTTGCTCGCAACTTCGCCCACGTGAAAATAAAAAATATAGTCTATGTTACTCACAGATAAATTACCCTTCTAATGGTAAAAGACTTTTTTAAATAGTCCAAGTAGTTTTTGAGTTATTTCAATACATACAAAAAATACAAATCTTTCCTCTTTATAATATTAGTATGGATTAGAAAGGTTAGCTTTACTCATAAAGGAATAGTGTGGTTTAAAGTCGAATCTAAATAGTTAAACTGTTAGGGAAATACAAATAATTTCTAACAGGTTTACGAATTTAAAATAACACAGAATAATCCCTGGCCCTCCCACAATAATTGAACATTAGTTATGGGCATCAGATATTTATATCAAAGTCCCAACTTTCGTAGAATCTTTTTGTAAATTACAATCATGAAGTACATTAATACGTGAAGAAAAAATTTTAAACGATATTTTTAAGAAAAATTTCGAACCAATTAACGTAAAAATTTAAAGTAAAAAAAAATAAAATGAATAGTTTATTAATTTCCCCTTTGGCAGAGGACTGGTGTCCAAATTAACCCTAATCCCCCTTTGTAATGGATCACCAGGCCTCCCGCGTGCAAAGTGCAGAGTATATGAAGCCATTTTAATCAAAAATAACATAAAAACCTTTGACAATAATATCTGGGCGCAATTGACCAATAAGAGACCACTAGTCTAGTTTTCATTGAAACAAAACCAAACAACTCTTCACGGTATAGAACAAATACATCGAGAAAATGATTGCTGTGTGAAAATGATATATCTTCGCGGATAAATATATAAATAAATTGAATTGTAACAACTGTCACATTGTGATATATCGTTTATTGAGTTGATATTATACTAAGTGATTTCTAAAATAAGCTACTTGCTTTTTTTGGTTGTAACTGAACTAATTAGGATAAAAAAAGGCACTGATATCCTGAATCTATAAATTTAATATCAATCTAGAAGTTTCTAGATTAAGTTAGAACTACAGATTTTACTATCACTATATCCCCCAAATAAAACTTGACGGAATTGTTAAAAGGATTTTTTCTATCACAGTTATGTGAAAATTCTAATTTGCTTTAGAAGTGTTTAAAAAAAACTAAAAGTAAATTTCAACAAACAGTCTAAAATATACTTACATTATCTTAATCTTCAATAGGTTCACGTTATATTAAAACGTTAGTTTAAATTTTTGTATATTCTTTAAATAAAGGAAGTTCAGTTAACACTGCAAGTTGGTGGCGTAGTGTTACGCTTATATAGGGGGTGGCTGCGCGACCAATGGATAGACTTGTCGTTGGATCAAAAAGGGCTCGGTCTTAGTGTTGCACTGAAGCGGATAAAGGTAGAGTATTAATTAACTATAGTGGCGCAATGAACCAAAAACGTCTTTCGCTTTCAACAAGAGCCTGAGACTCGGTGCAATGAAGACTTTTTGCTTTCTTTAGTCACACATTATATCTATAACAATTTCATCACCTGGTCTCTACAATTTTTCCCAACACACAATATAAATACGTTACAGAATCGACTTTTTACAATTGAGGATTAATATTTACAAAATAATGAAGAAAGATTTACGTCGAATAGATAACAACTAGGTCCAAACATTAATATCACAGAAGTACGCTTTCATCATCATCATCATCATCATCATCATCATCATCATCATCATCAGCATTTAACTGCCCACTGTTGGACATAGACATTCCTGAATGCCTTTCAAATTATGCGATCCTTACACATCTGACGACTTTCCGCCGTGTGCAAAAGCTGGCTTTTATACTCGTAATTATGTGTTTAAAATAGAACAAAAGTAATAGGTCCTCGTCGAAATTTTATCATCTTGATTATTTTCAAAATTTATGCAACTGGTACTATAAATGCGATCGTAACCCGCTCGATCTTATGCACTATGCGCTTCCAAACAGCTGGAGGACACAAAACTAGAAAAATGTTCGCCGTAAATACTTTTAATAGATATTCCGGTTAAACTTCAAAAGATTATTGATCATTATCTATGATATGATAACGCATCATAACATAACGTAATATTCATATCTAACATCTTAATATATGAATGAAATGTTAAACTTTATGATACATTCGAAGGGAGAATAACAATTTATATTTTATAAATATTTGACACAGTTGCTTAAACAAAACTATGCCAAGATCAAACATAAATAAACATAAATCCATTTTCTTTTTACAAAAATTTAATGGAAATTTTTATAGCAATTATGGTCATTATAAATTAACAAGACGTCTTTTTTGTTGATAAATGTACTAATATTATTATCGATCTTCACCTATTTTCGCTTATGAAATGTAAAACAATAAACTGTAAAAAAATTGTTTTATCCGCTTATCCACTAGGAATTGTAATTGCGACGAATATCAATTATTGCTCTATACGGCTTCATCTTTCTTGGAATAGAAAATGCATTTTATAGACAAGGGATTTGCATCAAATTTAGAAGAATTAAGTTCGAATGGATTGTAATAAAATTATTTTTTTGAGTATTTGAATATTTTTGACATTAGTACGGCTACCTAGTCTTTTATGTTGATGTTTAGTCATTGAAATAAATGAAATAAAAAGTGGTTATCCCAAATATAAGTTTATGAATTCTTGATACAATGGCAAAGACATATTTTTAATTAAAAAAAACTTCCAAACGCAATTGGAAGGTATTGGGGAAGGCCTACGACTTTCAGTAGAAAGACAAAGAATAATGATGATCTCTAAGAAGTGGGGTTTAACTATCACAATTTATCGAAGATAGAAAGGCTCACCAATTATCTTGTTTTTACTTTTGGTATCGGTAGAAGTCTTCAAAAGATACCCTGTCTTCACAATAAACCTCGCTAGGTGGCCATCCACAGGTGGGACTGCGAAGGGATAGTATCTCTAAAGGATTCTTCCATCTGCACTCAACTTACTCTTCGATCTCCTAGTCTCCTACGTTAGTAATCTTTTGTTATGATTCTCATCCGCAGCACAAGGTCACGTAGTAAAAATGTCCCATTCAAAATTGTTAACATTGTAAACAAACCATTACTACGGTTGTTCATAGATGGCTGTCGAGATAATATACGATTTTAAGTAATAATTAATATGAATTATTAAAATATTATTTATAGCCACGTAACATAGATTTTAAACGATATAGATCTTTGAATAACATGTGTATGTCAAAAACATCTGACGAAAGACTATTTTGAATACACGCGTTTGTTTTTTCGTAAATATTACGTAGGTCGACGGATTCTGGTAGGATTTTGTTTGTATTTTTAAATACGTATATTCCAAATAAGAAAATTAGCACAGAGAGAATTTTTGATTTTTAAAATCGTAGCAATAAAATAGTTTATAAATAAAACAATTCCAATCATCTTTTGGAGCATAACATCAGTGGAATTTTTTGTTCACACTGAAGTTGAGAAATGTCTAGTATTTTGTAATTATTTGTATTAGTATTTGTAAGTTTCGTTATCATAAGTTAAAGCATATCGCTTTAAATCTTGAGGTGATAGAAAAACTTACGAACGAAAACAGTGGTAGATGTTTTACTTATTTTTCTTATACTGTCTTCAAAAGTTTCAGTGCTTTCAATGTAGATGGCGCTATTTTAAATATTCTTTCCGAGTATAAAATGCATAATATACTTCAACACTCAGAGTCATGGTTACTCAGTAGTCTACTAGTATTTGTTTTTAATGAATATTTATGTTTAAATTCTTATTATTATTGAAGATCCTTACTCTAAACTATTTTTATTGAATTGTAAATCGTCTGCCTCCTTTTAGACCCTTCCGACGAAAAGACTTAAGGGCCCCTTTCTTCCCCATTTAGGCCTCCAGCGCCCTAAGGGGGCCTTAATGGAAAAGATAACTATATAACAATGTATGGGTATTACAACATCAGTTAGATATGTTATGTTGTTCAAATACACCTTGGTTTTAAGGTTCATAAGTCACCTTGGTCAATTAACGCTTTCAGCAAGATGACATGGCGTATTCTGAACATGCATGACATGCAAATATACCATGTTACAGGTGGTTTCGACTGACGCTTTTATCGGCATATGTTGTCTTTGTTTTTTCTAAGAGAATTTGAGAGATAACAAGACTCTGTGGAGGTTCACGGTTATACAATAGGTTTTGTTAGAGATCAAGGTAACAGGACTCCCCTTATTAGTAAAATACTGGCCACCAAAGTAGCTATTTTACGTTCTGTTTTTCGATGTTTCTATAAACACGCCGTTGTGACGTCAATGGCTTCAAGTCCCATGTTTTTTTGGGCACTTAATAGTGTGATATCATTATTGGTGTTGTATTAAAAGGGAAAATAAAAAAAAAGTTTTTACAACTGTGTATGTAATTTTATTAGCGTATTAAATAATAGAACTAAATCGTTATTCCAAAACAAATTAAAAGGAAATTTCATTGAAATTTAATATAAATAATACTAACTTAAATTTATTCGTTAATTTATATTCAAAATTAGTGTCTAAATGTAATATAAAGAACAAAGATGTACAGTAAATCGTAATAGAATGTTTATTTTAATATTTCCTATAATAATTTAAAGTAAATTATTTACATTTAACGTACACTTATTCTAATAAATCTTCTCCCTTTTATTTGTCTAAATAGAAACGTGTTTGAGAAAATTTGAATACTCGTATTTCATTTTAAACATGGATAAGACAATATTAATTTCACATTTCTCATATCGAAATAATTTGTTTTTTTTAGAAAGTGTTAATCAACTTCTTTATCATTTGAACAGATTCATTATGCCCAATACTTTCAATATATGATGTAGCCTTTTTAGCATGATCCTCATACAACATTTTAGTTTTATCAATAGCATCTGTTTTTAATATATTAAATTTCAAATCTTCATAATCTACATCTTTCACATCCTTCTTCGCTTGATCTATTATTTTATACAAATCAGGATTACCTTCTAAAGCGAATAGAACCGGTGCACTGGCTAAACAAAATCTATCTTTACTATCTGAAGTTAAGGTTTGTAATTCAGTAGCCGCTTGCCAAGCTAATCCAACATGACATCCGAAGTAATACGCGTTATTCTGAATTTCCCTATTTTGTTTAGCAAGAAGCATTGCTGATTGACATGCTCTTCCAAGCAAACTGACTCCGTTAAACACGGTTCTGGCTGTCCATTCCTTTCTTGGCTTTCCTATCACATCATCAACTGCTATAGAAGTAGTATCAAATGTGATTATATCATCAGTTACACGTCTTGGTTTACCAGGTAACGGCATGTTCTGTTCATCTCTATCTCCGAAAAATTCGCCTTCAGATAAATCTTTTAATCCTGATGACACTATGTACAGAACATCAGCGTTTTTTAGACCAGCTAACATAGTGTTAGCTGTAACTAGAAGGTAATCACCAAGAAGTATAGCGATTTTGTTCCCGAAAATAGCTGATTCCGTACTCTTGGATCGTTTCGCAAACGGCACATTTACTATACCACGATGAATCAAATGGCCTGTTCTCATTAATTCTATTAATTCTGCTAAAGCTCTTTGCTGTTCGTCTATGACTTTTGCTTGTGATGTTAGTACATTTGTTTTTACAGATTTCGATAACAGTAGAATAATAAGGCCCCAAGGTTGCAAATTTTTAGAATCACCATATAAGACGTTTTTCGCTGTTTGCATTACCAAATGATTACTGCCAACCTGAAATGTCATAAGGTATGATTATTATCACTTTTTTATATTCATAAAACTAGTCACTACGTCGTGTAATGTTAGGCAATTAAAAATTAGACCATTAATTGACAGGACTCAGCGAAATATAATAATTATTTGCTACGAAATTATTTATAGGTATGAATGTAATAGACTTTTTGCATACTTTAGACGAAATGAATCGTTGATAAAATACTAATACATCAATTTATAAATTTGTCTAATAGTGTTTTTTAAGATTTATCTGAACTTGAAAGCAGCCATTTGTTACAGTTGATTGCAACAGCTTTTCCATTTACATTAACTATCTGTGTCACAGTTAATTTGCTCTTCGCCGTGAAAGTAGTACTTTCGTATATTTTATCATAAAAAAAAAATCCTGGGACTTGATATTTTTTGCGGCTTAATGTTGTAGGATGTATACAGTTTGTCATATTTTCTGTTGTATTGAATTTATCAAAAAAATATATACGTGGTATTGTTTCATCACAAATATTATCAATTCTATTTTTATGTCTAAACAATTTATATTAATTTACTTATTATAACATATTATTGGTTAATAACAAATCAATACCCAATAAAAAATCTTAAATCATACTAATATTATAAATGCGAAAGTTTAGATGGATGTTTGTTCCCTTTGTAACCTAAACAGATGTACGGATTACTATTAAATTTGGTATAGAGTCAAAGGCTAGTCTGGAAAAGACATGCTACTCGCTTTTTTTAATTCCACGCGAACAGTCTCGAGCGAAAGCTAGTATTACTACATTTTATATTATTATAGTGATCGTTACTGCTTCATAATCCACGATTTAAGTATAAAAATATTACTTATCGATAGTTTCACGTAAAAGTTAAATAATATTACGATATTCATGTGTATTTAATTGTATTTATAACACAGATGATATAATTTAATGTTCAAAAACTTACCAACTTCCGTAAATATAGCGCTAAATTTGCAAACTCGTCGCTCAGTAAACATCGTAAATTCATAAACGACGTCGAATATCCGACCACTTTCTCCGCTTCTCGTGTTATATCGCTCCAATTTGTAAAAGGTGGTCGTAGTAATATTAAAATTTCGTCCTTTGTCAGATTGGCCATTGTCGATTCGTACCTTTTTTGAAAAAGGAACGACGACGCTCGTCTCAAAACGCGGGAAACGGTGTAAGAGACCGCCATAGTTGGGTTATTTTCTTCTATTGACTACGGCCGACTGTGCGTGCAGTTAGCGGTTAAATGTGCCGGTAATTTTAGTGTTGTCAGCTTTAAATCTGATATTTATTTGATTGGAATACGTTTCCTTGAAACAGCTCTATGGTGTTAAACATTTAATTTACATCTAAGTACTTTGTTGCTGCGTTAGTTTTAAGTGTAATTTATTTAAATTTTTGAACACAGTTGATTAATTTAAAAAAAATAACATGAACACAGATTTGTAAAGGAAATTTAAGGGAGTTTTAAGCTTTAGTAAGCTTGAAATTTTTTTATAAATTGTTCTATATTTAGCAAGTTATATAATTTTTTAAGTTACTTTATTGTAAAGTTACTATAATTTCTTATTATTTTATTGTCTATTTTACATTAGATTTTTATTTATTGTCTTGATGACATTCAAATTTTAAATTGTCGAAAACTGTATTAAATATTTTTGTTAGATAAAATCTCCCTAGATAATTTAAAATACTGCCTATTCTAGCAACACTAAGGTCTTGACCGTGAAAAGTGGAACACAGCATTAGTGTGATCACTCTATGAAGCGAGTATAAACAAACAAACATACTTTGGTGTCTATAAATTAATAAAACACTCAAATTTAGCCCCTGTCACATTACTATACAGCCTATAGCAAGATTACAACACTTCAAATTTATCTTTGATAGCCAAAGAAAGTGTCCAACGTAAAATGAGTCATAACTCCGACAGATAAATGCACAATGTATTATTGAATGGAAATCACTGTAGGCAGGTTTATGGGTCTATATATTTTGGTCGATACGGCGAGATTCTTTTTTCGAAAGTTAAATCTGTTCGAACGTTAACGGACGTTGGTCAGTTACCTGTCATTTCTCTTCAAGGTTGTGGTGACCTTGAAATGTTGTATTACTCTAGATATTTGGTATGTTTTTCATACTTTAATTGTTTTATAGGTATTATTATATTGTGTTTAATCTTTATTAAAATTTATTTTCCTTATTTAAACAAATAGAAGTATAAGGTTTTTACTTAGACTTGATTTAATTGGAAACTAAATTTCTACTACGTCTAATGAAATTTGTTCAGAAAAGCGCAAATAAAACAAAACGACCTTTGAGTTAATATTTTTTTATTATAAATCAAGAAAATTATTAATTTATTTGATCAGGACACTAAACAGTACATAAAATAATTAAATAAATCACGTCTCTACACATACATTACTTCGAGTAAAAAAATTAATTTTACATATAAGCATACTTATTTAATTTTTTTCACAACCATTACAAATAAAGTCATAATATACAAGTCAGTTGTGATTCAGAATGTCCATGTATTTATTACCATTAACCCTTTGCGTTGCACCTATCCTTTCACCTAAAGCTTGCTACAGACGCTAAGTTCTAACTGACCGGTTAAACCGAACCATTCGACTGTTATAACCGACGTCTGCAGACGGCTTAATGTATAGCAGCATAATCCTTATATTTCTTAGAGTGAGCGCACCTTAGACTAAACCATCGCACAACTGTTATGCTATTGTCGATTGTTTTGCAGCATATTCAGCTGTTTAGTCGCACAACTAAAATTCGCGTAGTGTGCGCACCATACAAGCTCATAGCAAACAAAGCGCAACTAAACGTTCTGCGACAATTTACTCAAAGGTGTGCGCGCCCTTCTAATTTATATTTTTAAATTAAGTAGTCACAATATCAATTCGTTTTCTTATTTACGTTTTGTCCATGTATAATAGAATTTAATGTCCACTGCATGAAGTATGAGAATATCTTGATAAACAACATAACAGCACAAATTATCGGAAAGTAGATTGTACCATAGGCATTTGTTAATATTGGATAAATCCAGATACCTCGTTCTATATATGTGTAGGTTAATCTGAAAGAAAAAAAAATCTCATCAACTATACTACTGAGGTGAGCCTACCTTAAGTTAGGAGTGACAGAAATAGTCGACCACAATAGCACAATGCGGTTTAGTTGACGTCACACATAATTTTGAATTCCTTCACAGATATGTGCGGATTTCACTAATTGTTTTCCTTTATTAGAAAAATGCATGTAGTTAAATATAAAATTCGAATATCGAAAAACATTGGTACATTACGAGGGTCCAGCATGGTTGTATAGATTACAGTCGGTCCAGTCAAACGTAAACACCAGCAGCACCGTCGCTTAACTCGTTTACATTACTTTCAACAAATAAACCATACTCACACAAGTAAATAGACAAACAGATGAAACACGCTATGTGCTAAATATCTCCTATGTGACTTCGGCTCGATCCTTGGTCGGAATAGAACTTCCCAAAGCACGACTGGTACTATAGCCGTGTGTATCACATGGTTTGATATAGGGGTTAGTACTTTGTCAATGCTTATCGGAAGAATTAGATCCCTATTGTAAAGGAATAGCGACCAAAATACTGTGAAAACCAGCTGAAATAATACAATATTTCGATAAGTTGCAGTCTATTTTTCATGTAGGTATTACAAATGTCACTGAATTCATGAAAATGGGCTCTTAATAATTTGCATAGACAAATTACAAAGGGGTGTTCTTTTATTGTAATGGTACTTACGAAAGTAGATGGCCAAATAATTGCAGCGAAAAGTGTATCTCTGAAGCCTCTTAAATGTTTTGGTAGCTTGTAGTTTTTGTTGTTCCTATTTCGTAATGTTGAAAAATCACAGATGAGTCCAATCACCGCGTAGATGATTTGTAGACCCTGAAAAATAACAGACGTTTTTATAATACTAAAAACTGTACTTGACCTTAGAAATTTCCTAAATAATATAACTAAGACATCTCTCTAATAGAAAATATTGTTCTGTTGGTTCTAATTTTAGTTTATTGCAAGCAATTAAAGGTACTATACTTACAAATGTCCAACATGTAAAGTATCGGACTTGTAAATTACTATAAGCCTTTAGCACCGGATCATCGTAATGCTCTTTCTTTATTGCTTTTGCCATAAAATATATGTTTGATACATGCATTATTATAGTCACAGCATATCCGAATATCCTAAAGTAGATATAATCCTGCATGATTCTGAAAACATCAATAAAATCATTGTAATAATAAGTATAATAAAGCGAAGAGCTTCGACCAATATCTCGAGAAGCTCTCGCTAGATAGTTGGATTAAGGGCCCGATTCAGAAGGCAGTTATTTTAGAAAACGCACGCATTGTGAGGAGGTTCCTGTCTCTGCCCTGACCACTGATTGCTTGAGTCATCGGATTCCGCAGCCAGTGGTGCTCTATTTTTTATAAAACACTAACTTTCGCCCGCGACTTCGTCCGCGTGGAATTAAAAAAAAAACGAAAGTGAGTAGCCTATGTGTTCTTCCAGACTATCCTCTACATCTATACCAAATTTCACCGAAATCCGTTCAGCCGTTTAGGCTACAAACTCTGACAAACATCCGTCCATTCATCTAAATGCTCGCATTTAAAATATTAGTTAGAAGTTTTATTTTATTTTTTAATCCAAATCATGCAAAATATATATATAAAATAAGAAATAAAGATATATGAAGTATAGAAACTGCCGCACTTAGCGTAGCTATTACTCAAGAAGTCAAAGGCCAAGTCCTTCTTTGGCTACGCAAGCGCAGTAAGAAATAATAATAATTATTAAACCAGCCCGCAGCGCCAGTGTGGTTGACTATGACCTATCCCTAACTTAAAGTAGGCTCCAGGAGGCCAGCGTTTGACTATCGCCTGTCACGCCTATTCTAGGATCCGACTTAGTAAGCTGATGACGTCGAATTGAGTCTTTTATGTATACTTATTGAGTCTTTTATATCTAATGTACATTTAATAGGGAAATCTTAAAGGAAACTTCACTAAAGGGATGCTTAAGTTACTATAAAACAATGCTAAGTGCGGCAGTTAGTAAACTTTGTAATAATGTATTATGAATGAATTTCCGTCCAGCTGGTAAAATGGTGACACAAGCAGATAATTACAAGAATGGGGCAAATCTGTTCGTTGCAAAGATAATTGATGGTTTAAATATATGTTACCATTGATAAAACACCTGTTATTATTATAACGGAAGCTTGGAAATTGAGGTGAGGTAGGTATTGCCCAAAATATTCAAAACCTTTATGTCGATGGCTCCTCCGTACAATATCGTACGTTGGATTTTTTTTGCAAGATAATAGTTTAAGCATAAAAAATTGCAATACAACTAGCAAAGATAGGCAACTAAAACCTACAGTTCTTTTTCTTTCCAAGGTTAATTTCAAATTTACAAGTTAAAAAGAATTTATCAAACTAGTTAAAAAAAAAAAACATAAAACAAGTTGTAAAATTGTGACTTATGATAGTTTAGTTGGAGGCGTCGATTTGCACAATTAAGATACTTGTGCTATATTTACCATGTTAAGGGATTTTCATCTAAAATTTTGATTCACATGTTTTTTTAATACGTAATTTTAGACAGTAACCTCGAGACAATCAAAAAATAACAATAAAATTTTGCTAATTAACGACCACAATGTAATAAAACGATAAGATAACTACTAAAACCGGATTTGAAATAATTATCTACATTTTCCTCTTGTCTACAATTGTGCATTTTAAAAATTGTTGTGATTTTACAGTTAATTAATGCAATAATGGTAAATAAAATTATTTAAAGCAGTATTTTAGATTCTCTTATTTACTATTTTCAATTTTATTTTGCATAAATATAAAAAAATTGTTTAAAAAAATTAGGGAATAATTACTGAATTTCTACAACCTCACTCATAGAGTATTACCATGTTTAATAAATGAAATTATGAATATTTACCTATTTTTATGGAATATTTTATATCAACACTTTAGGAAGTATACCACCGACCCGACCACTGCAATCCAGTAACGGTATAACACTACGTACGTACAAACTAATTTCGCGCGAACCGGCGTTATCTCGGATGTCCAATTTAAGACCTTAAAATAAACTAATAAGAACAAATTTACATTGCAGGTTATTTCAAAACGGTTTAACAGTATTAGAGTATTCTCATATGATTTTGAACCTTATCGGCTGGGTTTAAAATACAATTTTAATTTACTTTAAATTTGAACTGTGTACACTAATATTATAGAGAAAGATTTGATTACATTGAATAGTCTATAAAACTATTAAACCGATTTTAAAAATAATTTTCTTTTGAGTTACATTATTACTTAGTACTATAGATTGTATTTATAAGTAGAAAAAGTTTTTTTATAATTCTACGCAGATGAAATCACGGGCAACTGCTAGTATTTAGCATTCTTGTTCTTGAAGGTTATTGAAACTATTATATAGCCCTTAATTATAAAGCTTTTAATAGCCGACAAACTGCACGTATCTAATGAATAATCATAAAATTATTGATAACTTTTCATATGATCAATATTTAAGTCGTCACTTTAACTATTCACAAACAGCAGGCGCTTATGAATTAAATGAAAAATATTTAGCTTCCCCAAGCAAATTTGATAACACAATATTTACTTTACTCTGATTATTTAGCTATAAATGACAAATTTTGTAAATATGTGAGAATCCAAAAATTATCTCTCTCACTCTACGTTAAACTGAAAAACGTCGGTCTGTAGAGAAGAGTCATTCTCTCTCCATTCTTTTATATCTCTTAACATTTCAACGTCTTCAGCCTTCGTCTATAAGCTGTTTTTGTACTACTTTATAATTAACACTTATATCACAAGAGTTGACAATGCTTCGTATTTAAAAACTGTTAAAGAAAGGTCCCTTGTTCTTAGCCACATCGATTGGCACATACCGGTCGTGACGGATAATTTCAAAAGACAGTTCGTGGCAGGAAGTTATTTTAAAATAGAACGATTATGAAATACCATTGAATAATATGACTTTTATAGTGTTAATAAACTTTTATGAAATCTATTTTAATCCGCATTTGCCGTAAAATTAGCCGATATAACTTCTGGATTTTCTTCCATTTGACCTTGCCTCGTTAGCTATTTAATCTTCGAGTAAAAAACTTCATTTAAGATATTTGGTATTGATAACGTAACAAGTTATTAAAAGCAACAGACCATAAAATTTTACATAAATATAAGCAATGCTCTTTGTGGACTGTAACATAATAGTGTAACATAATAAGCGCCAATAGCCTAGTGGTCGAGGGTTCGAATCCGGCCATTCGACTATTGTCGTGAACCATATCCTAGCACAAGCCTAGAGCTTAGTTGGAATGGTTAATGAAAAATTAGTAGACTAGCTGTTCCCGTGCGACTTCATCCGCGTATAATTATGAATATTTTATTATAGTGTTTACATGTGCCAAATTATCAATTGCAAATGACATGACACGATGACAAACCATGGCAACCTTCCTTGATGTTGGCAGCAACTTATGGTCTCTTTCCCACATTAGGGTTTTTATTCAAAATATTTAATGGCGTGAAAATATATAGCGTAGTGTGACGTGAGTGTGGGGCTTTTTATTAAAAAAAGAATTATTCAAAAATATGCTGTAATTGCTGACATCTTAGGCAACAAAAAAGCGTGTGTTTACGCTTTATTATAATAGTATAGATATAGATTACTAGCTATTACTATCGAATAGTTAAAAGCAGTTCGGAAACCGGCCTTATTGATGTTACCTATTATACAAGGTTACATTGTTATTGATTAGCTCTGCTTATAGCATTCTTAACTCACTACTAAGTAGATTGTAATAAAATGCAATAGAAAGGTTTCTTCAATCCTATCACTGAGAGTGATCTTAACGCGATTGCATGAATTGTATTACTAGTCCATAGTGATATTTAGTTACCTAGGTTATAAACGCAAGTCTTACGGCACAGGTTCAGTAATTAAGCTTAGGCGTCTTTTAGATTATCGATCTACAAATTTGATGATTTATTTAATCATTTTACCCAGAGGCACTAGCACGAAAATTTTCGAGAAAGTATTCGTTTTGTCAACGAAAAGTGTACCACACATGTCTGTGTAATTAACGCTAGAAAGGCGATATATGCATCTTATACAATGTATAACATTATGAACACTTTCTTGCAAATTTTCGTGCTTTACTGATCTATTTTTATGGTCGGCATAACAGGTTTTCACGTACCAAATCGAACATATGCTTAAGTTTATAACAGTTAAAAGTTAATAAACTTAAAAACAAAATGAAGGTCATCTAAGTCAAGGTCGTAATTAATTAAGTAGAAACATGACCGACCGGTGTTCGTGTTCAACCGTGTGACTTACTTTATATGGTTGACATAATACAATAATTATCTCGTATTTAAATCTGGTTATTCTACAAACTTTACAATCGTGCAAATTTGTTTTACTTGTTAGTTAAAATTTCTACAACTATACATATATTAAAATTGGAGTGTCTGTTTGTAATGTCAAAAAATAAACTTTTTAATAAAAAAATAAAACCGACTTCCAAACAAAATACACGAAAAACAAAACAAAACAAAATACACCAAAAACAAAAT